TCGGCTGGGTGCAAGGCAAACGCCCTACCCTCTATGCTATTGCTCCAGCCCAACATTAGCACTATTGGAACTATGTTACTTGAACTATAATAAAAAATATTAAAAACAACCAACCTTGCCCCCCCTCCAAAAAAACCCCTTTGGTTAAACAAATATGTAAATAAATATGTTAACAAACACTTATGTCTACCAGACAACCAGCTCTCCTGGAGACCCCGGTACTTGGCGCTTGGGCACACCAGCCTGAGCTCCCCCCCCACCCCCAGGCCTCTGACCCAGCTTTGCTTATAAACAAAGAAACAACAAACATAGCAAACTACCCCCAAGAACCTGGCAGAATTATGGTCAACAAGGGCTCTCCTTGCTTCAGGGAGAGGCAAATATTTTTTCCTAATGTTTTTCCTCAGATTCACAAACCCAAGACACATTTGAACCAGCCTCCTTTGGGGACCCGTTTTGCTGTAGCCCCTTTCACGCAGCTTGAACATTCAGACTTGCCCTTCGGAGCACTGGGGCATGGGGTGAGAGTGTGGAGGGAGCATCTGCACACGGCACTCCCTGACCTGGGGCGTCATACCACTCCATCATCTTTGTGAGTCCCAGTCAGAGACGGCGGTAACGAAGCGTGACGTTGCAGATTCTCCATGTGGCCCTAGCCTGAGTAGCATTTTTTCTTTCTTTTTCTTTTGTTGGGCCAGAGCGATAGTAAGGCTGGAACTATAGCACAGTGGGTAGGGCATTTGCCTTGCGTGTGGCCGACCTGGGTTTGATTCCTCTGTTCCTCTTGGAGAGCCCGTCAAGCTACTGAAAGTATCCCACCCGCAGGACAGAGCCTGGCAAGCTCCCCGTGGCGTATTTGATATGCCAAAAACAGTAGCAACAAGTCTCACAATGGAGACGCAACTGGTGCCTGCTCGAGCAAATCGATGAACAATGGGAGTGTTCATCATCCACAGTGCTACCGTGCTTTCTTTTGTTTGAGGGACACTCAGATGGTGCTGGGTGATGTGGGCGTGGGGTGGGGTTCCTCCAGGCGTGATGCTCTGGAAGCAATGAGGTGTTGGAGATGGATCCAGTCTGGAACCTCCTTGTGCAAAGCACACACTCCTGCCCTATGAGCCATGACCTGCAAACTCAGGGCAGCAAATGTCACGTGCACTGGAATCCGAGCATGTGGCCCAGGCAGAGAACTGTAGCAGGACACAGCCAGAAGGTGTCTGGGCTACAAGATTTGGTCACACTGGGTCATTCTGTCTGGAGATGAGGGTCCTTGCAATGACTCCAGGGCCCCAGGGACTAAGGACAGGGCAAACGGAGCCTCCCGCTCCCCAGAGAGACAGACCAGCCCTTGCCTGTGGCCCCAGAAGATTCCACAGGTAAGGGTTGAGATCTCTGTGTTCTGCTCCATTCCCTCCTGATCAGGGAGAAGCGGGAGGTGTGGATCAGAGAGTTCTTGAGACCTATCCAGCATCACCCTGGAGATGAAGAACATCTTTGAACTGAAACCTGACTCAGGACAAGAGTTAAGGTGCTTCCCTCGCGTGCCATGCGGCAGGACATTGGTTTGAATCCCAGAACCACACATTGAACCCCAACCACCGTCTGGAGTGACCCCTGAATCCAGACCCAGGTGGGGCCTTGAGCACTGCAGGATGAGGCACCCCCCTCCGCCAAATAAACAAAGAAAAGAAAATCCGATTCAAGGATCTTCTCATGAAAAAAGTCTTTGCCTCTGCCTTTTCCCTCAAGTTTTTTTACAGAAAGGCTCTCTCCCAGATTGAGAAACTTTGGGGTAGTACTTGATATTCCCAACACCTGGATTTCCTGACTCCAGAGAGCACCCTGGGGGGTGTTGGCTGGCACCCAGGTCAGGCAGTTTCACGGTCCAGGAAGTGGCTCTGTGATCTCCTTCAGTCATGGGAAGTCCCTTTCCCGGAGAGATTCTGGTTTCCCACGGACTCCTCCTGCTGCTAAAATAGAACCAGGCTAATCCTTCGGCCACCCAGCACCAGCAGGCGCGGCAGCTTGTCGGGCCCTGGCAGGTGCTGAAGGGATCACCCTTGCCTCTCTGGCCGCCACACCCTGTCCTGTTCCAGCTGGGCAGCTCCTGCCAGAAACCTCAGGGGCTGTTTGTCTTCATTCATACGCTTGAACTCGACCCACCCCCGAGGGAGCAGTGTCCGGAGCACAAGCAAGTGCTGTGCAGGCCCGGTGTCATGCAGGATGGAGGGACAAGAGGAACAGTCGAGGCTACCCGGTTTCGCCCCAGCTGCCCACTAACCATGTACGTGGAGTCCCAGGACCTGCCTGCATGACACTGGGCAGCTCCGTGTGGCCAAAAGAATCAGCCACAGGTTCTGAGCGATAGCACAGCAGGTAGGGTGTTTGTCTTGCAAGCGACTGACCTGTATGGTCCCCTGAGCACTGCCAGGGGTAATCCTGAGTGTTTGAGCCAGGAGTAATCCCTATGCATCACCGGGTGTGACCCAAAAAGAAAAAAAAAAAAGAATCAGCTACAATCCATTTAGAGCCAGTATTTATAAGCTCGGGTTTGGCCAGGGCTTTCTGTCCTGCTGCAGAGATCACAGTGGAGCCCAAGTGTGAGTCCCCAGCTCAGGACAGACACAGAGCAGTCAGGGACACAGCCCCACCCACAGGCCCCTCCGGTTCCCAGGCACAGATTTCCATCAGCGACTGAACAGGTGGTACCGCAGAGTTCAGTCACCTCAGTCCTCTGGCCACTTGGCACTTACTTACTGTATTATTCATATTTCCTGAGTTAGGTTCCTTTCTCCCCACCTGCTCTCTACCCCCTCCCTCCCTCCCCCCTTCATCTATCTCTATCTCTCTGTCTTTCCTCCCCCTCCCCCCCAGATTTGAAACCATTAGCTCATTACAAATGTAGGAATTAGATAAACTCCGTCATCATTCAGCAGGCTGGAAATTTCTTTTAGACGTTAGATGAACAACTGTGGATGGGCTTGCTTTCTATTCTCTCCTTCCTTTCCCTTTTGCTGTTGGGTGATGAGGGTCGGGGCCATAGGGGGGTCACTCTGAAGCCCTCTGCAGATCACGCACATTGTGCTGGTGGGGATCCCGAAGGTCGCTGCCACCTGAATATCTCATAGAAGATGGAGGCGCAGGAGGTCATATTTGTGGCCTTTGGTACAAGGCAGGCACTCCACAACAGAGCCAGTCCCTTGGCCCCAATGGGCCCATTTAATAGGGGAATATCCCATGGCCTAGAGAACCAATACATTTTTATTTTTGTTTGTTTATATTTTAGTTTTTGGACCACACCAGGCAGTGATCAGGGCTTACTCCTGGCTCTGCACTCTGGGCTCACTCCTGGCAGTGTTCAAGAGACAATATGGGGTGTAGGAGATCAAACCTGAGTTGGCTGTGTGCAGTGCAAGCACACTACCCCTGGACTATCTCTCTGGCCCTTTATTTCCATTTTTTGGGTCTCCCAAGTGGTGCTCAGGGGGACCAACGTAACAAAGACGGTCACAAAGATGGTCACAAATTTGGGGGCACTTTGGAGAAAAGATCACAAATCATTTTATTGAAAGCCTCTTTGCATTTTCAAATCAGCAAAAGATTGTTGCTCAAACTTCCACAATGTGCTTTTGAATTTTATGCAATATTTTAGAGAAAGAACTATAGTTATTACAGAATGGTGGTCCATGCCTCGAAATCACAAAGGCAGACCCAGAAGGATGGCAAGGGTGCCGGCAATTTCACAGGCCAATATACATCTCTGTCTACACAGTTCTGGGTACAGATTCTGATACATCATAGTCAGGTAACAGGTGAGCCTGGTCAAAATGAAACTATCTGGGGGGACAGAGTGGTAGAGTGAAAAAAGAGACACACAAAGCTTTCAACACCTTGCTGTGGAGACGATGAGAATCAGGTGCAACCAAGAGACAGGCTGAAGACAGACTGCTCTTTGGAAGCGGAAGAGTACATTGTGTTTAACCCCAAGCTTCACTCTAGAGAGAGAACTTGCCTGCAGCCCCTGCTCTGCATGAAGGGCCAGAGAAGGGGTCTTCTCCATCATGGGGGACCCCTTGTGTGATGGGAACACCCATTTCTTTCCCAGAGGCAGTGTGGCAGGGCACAGAGTGGAGATGTTGGAATTGAAGGCTCACAGAAGCACTCGGCCTGGCTGAATTTGCTCCAGGATCCCGGGTCCTTCCGGTCTGTGTGCTCAATGCTGAGTTCATGAGTCTCTGGCCATGTGGCTCATTTCTCTTCCTGCTGCGGGCAGAGATTTTTCTTTCCTGTTTCCTAGTTTTCATGCAGCTCTTATCCCTGTCCTAGCAGAGCTGTAAGCAGAAGAAGATGGAGCTTCAAGATTTTTTTCGGCCGGCCTCTGCCCATAGACAGGGCTCTCCTTCCTGTCTCACCTCTTGAATGCTTGGATCTCCCCTTCAGAGCCAGCCTGTGGAATGACGGCCTTGCCAGGAAGGCCGCCTAAGTGGTGGGGTCACACACAGCAGTGAGACGAAGATGCTGGGGAATGGGTCAGCCTCCTAGCCTTAGTCCCAGAGACAACCTCCAATGAAGAGGATTGTGTGATCATGATCAGGTCTCATCCGGAGTCTTTGTAATGGGGCCAGGAGGTGACTTGTCCAAGTCTCAAAAGCATCTTTCCCAGCCGTGTGGGGCCTGGATGAGTTTTCGGAGTCGCCAGAGCCCCTGCAGGTGTGAGCTGCAGCTTTTTGACTTCTGGAGGACCAAATGCTGCAGATGGGGGTGCCAGAGAGGGACTTCGAGCTTTTGGGCTTTCTGGGCTTGGAGGCAGCGTTATTGGCAAATCTCAGATGGGCAGAGACGGATGCTAAGATGGGGTTAATTCTGTTTTGTTTGGGTATCATACCCACTAGTACTCAGGGTCTTTTCCTACCTCTGTGCTCAGGGTGAGTCCTGGCAGTGCTCAGGGGAACGTATGTGGTGCCTGGAATTGAACCAAATGCCTTACCCTCTATCCACTCTTGGGGCCTAGTTTTCATGCAGCTTTTATTCCTGTCCAAGTCAGAGTTGTAAGCAGAAGAGGATGGAGTATCTGGATTCTTTGAGGCCATCCTCTGCCCAGAGCCAGTGTTTCCTGTCCTGTCTAGCTTCTTGAATGCTTGGATCACCCCTGTCTCTTCTCCCCCGGCGTGAATGAGTGCAGACTTGGTTGATCATAGGGTGATGAAGCATTTGGCAGTGGCAGCTTTACAATTTTGTTGTATTTCTTGAAACAGCACCAAGATTGAGCTGTCTCTCTCTCTCCCTATCTTAATGCTGTGGGATCAGAAGACAGGGATCTGGTCTCTCCGAGAAACGTCCAGATCATCATCCAGGGTTAACAACACCTGAAAAAGAGAGGTACATGCCTTATGAGCTGGAGGAGAAGGCAGCAGGGATAGAAGAGGGATCACTAAGTCAATGATGGTTGGAGGGATCACTCGGGATGGGAGATGTGTGCTGAAAGTAGATCAAGGATCAAACACGATGGCCTCTCAGTGTCTGTACTGCAAACCATAATGTCCATAAGTAGAAAGATAGAGGGAAATGGTCTACCACAGAGGCAGGGGTAGGGGTGGAATGGGGTTGGGCATGGGGGAGGGATACTGGGAACATTGGTAGTGAAAAATGTACACTGGTGGAGGGATGGGCCATTGTATGGTTGATACTCAAACATGAAAGTTTTGTAACTGTAGCTCACGGTGATTCAATTTAAAAAAACGTGAAATAAAAAGAGAGGCACACTACCTTGAACCCCATCAAATGTGCTGTGGTACTTTTGCAGTTTCTTTTTTTACAGATATACATATACATATACATATATATATATATATATATATATATATAAAGCACACAAGGCTCAACCTCTAACAATATGTTAGTAACCTCTTATAGAAGGGATTAATGGTCCTTGAGTGAATACAAAAGAATCTTCGGACTGAGTGCTTGCAGTCAACCGCAGGACATTGCTGTTAGGATTCTAGGTTCTACAAGTGTGAGACTCCTGGAGATCTCAACAACAACAATGACAGCAACAAAATAGGAAAAAGTGGTTTGTAAATATAAGAATTATGGCATGGAGATTGGTTCAACATGATAGGGTCGGCAAGAAACGTATTACTTAGAAGGGGATATTGGGACAAAAACTTAAGGAATAAAGTCTGGTCGCGTAGAGCATTGCTAGAGAAGAAATGTGTCCTTATTCTATATTGTGTCATTTTCTCACCATTATCTTCATGTGGAACCCTGAACTTCACTTTTTAGGGTCTCTGATTAATGAAAGTGACTTTTCAAAACTGAAAACGCTTTCTATTGGTTATTTATCTATTTCTATTGGTTAAACTTCCCGAATTAACCACTAGGGGGTAGGCCTGCTCCACTCTTGCCGTAACCAAGTTGCTTAAAGAGGGCAAGTGTTAGGAACCTAGAGTATCTAGCAGAGTTGTGATATGTCAATTGAATCCATGCACAGACACTGGGGACTTTAATTTGGAAAGCACAACATTAGGATGAAAGAACGTTGGCAATTATCATATAGGGTTATTAAAATATGCGTGACTTCTAGGAAGGCGCTTGTGCAAAAAGATGGAGGACTTTAGGAGAGATTTGAAACAAATACTTTAAAAGGAAGCAGAAGGCTGACTGCTGTCCTGCGCCACTCCAGGAATTTGTAAAATACTCAGTGAGACTAGAATCCAGTACTGCAGAACACGAAAAAACAAACAAACAAACAAAAAACCTAATGTTTTGAAAATGATAATGACTGTCTCATGTGATCTTGGGGAAATTATGGGAGTATGAGTTCTAATAATCAACGCAGTCTAAACAATATGCAGCTTACAGAAAATCATTTGGTCACTTTCTGTGTTCAAATGTTGATGAGTAAAAAAAGGAAAAGGAAAACAAAGATCTCGTTGAAAGATACTTGTGTAAACTCACACAAAGGGGGGCACAGCACACAGCGGCGGTGGCTCTATCTCTCCCGCTGCCCGTGTTCGGTAGTCTCACCCTTCTCCCACCCCGGGGAGGTCAATGGTGAAGGTCATTTCATTTCATTTCATCATCCTGTTATTCGTCGATTGCCTCAAGCAGGCCCCAGTAACGTCTCTTTCATCCAAGCCCTGAGATTATATTCAAGGCTCTTTAGGAGAATGAGACCCATCATTGTTACTGGTATTTGGCATATTTGGTACGCCACGGGGAGTTTGCCAGACTCTGCCCTGTGGGCAGGCTACATTCGATAGCCTGCAAGTTTGTCCAAAGTAGTAATGAGACAATAAGATGTCATAAAGAAAAGTTCTGATAAGATGTTGCGCGGCCGCAAATGCGAAGGTGAAGGTCAGGCAGAGGAAGGAAACGAAGGCCAGGCTGGTTGGTATTAGTCGCAGTTTATTCCAATCCTCTCTCCATCTACACCCGTCTCCCTTCTCTGCCTCTGCTCCCTTTTGCCCATTCTACAGTCTCATTATATTTCTCTCCACGAGGAATTGGGGGAACAATTACACATAGGTTCAGTCACAATCAATAGGGGTAAAAATCTTAGCCTCAGGGAAAGCCGCTCCTAGGACAGATCCTTTCTCAGCAGGAGGACCCACCCTAGAGTGGAATCCCAAGGGTGTGTCTCTCCTCTCTTTGTCCAACAAGCATATACGCATATATAATATAAATCATTTTGTATGGATACAGTAAGAAATATCTTAAACTTATAGAATTGCTCTCCTAGGGCCATCTCAATCTCAGACTACAGTGCTCAGGCCAGATAGTCTTTCCTACCCCAAGCAGGATCCTAGTCTCGTCGTTACTTTTGGATCATGACAGCATTTGTCTATGATCAAACTCTTAACTTATAGTTAAGAATCGTGGCACTTTGGCCTGGCCCATTTCGATGCAGGATAGCTCACCGCTTGCCCTGGGTCCATTCAGTCTTGTCGGGACCCTGCTTTTAGGGTGTTAGGAACTAAGGTCAATTGAGGCTTAAGTCGAGAAAGCAGATGCCTGGGAGTGAATAATATTCAAAGCCAATTAAATCCTAAGTTACAAAGCATAATGTTAACGGTCTTCCTGTATCTATACAAAAAGGATATTACCTTAAGGTAAACTGTTCATAAGGCATAAGGAGAGGAGAAAGGCAATATTTCACTCATACATATAAAATCATAGATTTCTGGGAAACTGACCTTACAAATTAACAGTTTGATTAAGGGGAAAACTGATTAACTGGGTGGGGAGGAGAGCATAGGGAAGACTGTTTACAGATAAACACAATGGAATGGAAGTGCCTCAGGAGCACTGTGATGGGTGTAACCATATAACCTAAGCTTCTTGTGGAAGAAGGACAAAGCAATGTCACCCTACAGATACTTTGTTAAAAATTAGTTACATGGCATCCCCAACAATAAATCCATGGATACATTTTTTTTAAATAAAGAAAGGTCACCAGTCCACTGAATTACAGTGAGGAATTGGAGAGGGAGATTACAGAGAAGTACAAAAGGGAAGTTAGGGGAGCAGGGATGTGGTTAAGTGGTAGAAGAAACGCCATGTACCTGTGAAGTCCTAGTTTCCATCCCTGGGGCTGCCTAGCCCCTAAGTGGGATTCCCTAGAGGACCAATGATAAAGAGGCTATAGAAGAGGGAACAAGCAAGATGAAAGAGAGAAGAAATGAATAATATAGTATTTGAGACTTACCAAGAATGAGAAAAATAGGGCCGTAGCAGAGAGGAAGTGCCAGATGTCATGGTCATCAAAGAAGTTGAGCAGAACGCACTCCCTGTTCTTCTCCCGGGACTCAGCTGGAGTTCCCTGGAAGAAAGTGAGGTAGGACATGGGCTCTCTCAGAGTTCAACTGATCCCAGGCTGCCCATCCACAAAGACACAAAAGGGACATGACAGTCATCTGCCACTAAAGGACAGAGATGGTCTAAGGGATCTGTTATTCAGCCATTTCATCATCCTTGTGTGATGGATGGGTTGAATTCCAGTGGGTTGAATCACACAAACCCGAATGGTACAGCCTATGACACACTTGCAGCTTGCTCTAGGGCACATCCTACAGGGATCATGGTTTCACATTTGGTTCCATGTTGATGGAAACACCAAGAAACATGTGACTTTCAGTGCATGGCTTAAAAAAGTTAACTTCCTAGAAACACGTGTCCACATAAAACCTTGCATATGAATGTTCACAACAGCAACATTCATAAGAGTCCAAAAAAATGAAAGCACCGGGGTTGGAGCAATAGCACAGCGGGTAGGGCGTTTGCCTTGCACGCGGCCGACCTGGGTTCGGTTTCCAGCATCCCATGTGGTCCCCTGAGCACCACCAGGGGGGATTCCTGAGTGCAGAGCCAGGAGTGGCCCCTGTGCATCACCGGGTGTGACCCAAAAAACAAAACAAAAAAAATGGAAGCAAAAAACCAAGTCACGCCTCTTAGAGAAAGCTTCTTGTTAGAGACTGTAACCAGACCAGTAGCAGCAAGCACACAAAGGGAGGGAGGGACGGAAAGTCAGAAAGGCAAAATGGGGAAGGAAACACTATGGAAAAGGAAACTGGACCTTTGGGTTGAAAAGACAGTACACGGGGCACATGCTTTGCAAGCAGGAGTCCCGTGCTCAATCCCTGGTATCTCATGATCTCTTCAGCATCCCTCAGAGTGACCACAAGCACCACTGAAGGATGTGCCTGAAAAGGAAAAAGGAAAGGGTCCGCTTACCTCCCAGCTGCTGAGATTCTGGAAGAAAAAATACAGGGCAGCAGCCCACACCACAGCCGTGGCGATGATGCAGAATAGAGGGATGGGGAGGACCTTCTCTGAGCTGCGGAGCTGCAGGAGGAGAAGCAGAGTTGTGAGCTGCGCATGTGCGCTGCCTTGGTGCGGGGGGCCAAGGCACATCAAAGGCTCCCTGCAGCCACCCTTACCTTCATGATGATGTAAAAGGCCAGGTAGAGCAGCAGGTTGCAGATGAAGATACCCAGCATGTAGGAAGCAAAGTCCCGGGGCCGATACATGAGTCCAAAGAAGGCGCTATCCATAGGAAGGTAGGTTTGTAACAGGATTGGCATTTTCACTCTCCCCACCGCCTTGAAAACCCATGACATTTGAAAACATTCATACAATTTGTTTAACATTCATATAGCCCATACGTGGATATGCCATGAACAACGTTTTCTGGTTGAAATAGGAATTTTTGAGACTCGAGAAAGAATCTTGGAACCGAGCAGCTCGCTGCGCCAGGCTGACTTCACTGGGGTGCCTCAGATGGGTCAGGTGTCTCCCCTCCACCTGTCCCCTAGGTGTCCCCTAGAGCACCACCTTCCAGAACCCAATGAAAAGCCAGATACTCAGAATTAGTGACCTAAAACTCCAGGCCTCATGGGATAGGGGATAAACCGGCCCTTCCCACCTCCCTGTCCCCATGGAACCCTGGATGTTACGCCCACGAGCTTCCTCCATGACTATTTAAGAGCTCATTAATGTCCATGACCCAGAGTCACACAAAAGAATCTCAGAACTGAGCAGCTCACTGCAGAGATTTCTCCAGGCCCTCAGTAACTACAATTTTAGATTTCTAGGAGCTCACAGCCGCTCTTGCAACCCTGCAACATTCTATGTCATTCATAGCGGGCAACACAAATAAATTATTTGTCATTTGCCTGTTTGGCAGATTTGAGTGGTAGTGGGAAATTCGAAATAATGGTGGCGGGAAGGTGTGATGGTGGTGGGACTGGTGTTGAAATATTGAATGTAATACATTATTGTGAACAACTTATGAAAAAAATTTTAAAAGAAATAGGAATTTTTCACCCTTCTTTTGTGCTTGACAAGGGTTAAGAACATAACAGAAAGAAGCAAACCCTTCATTCTTCAAAAAATGAGAAATAGAGCTCCCATTTGACCCACTTCTAGGAATATATCCTGGGGGTCCAAGAACACAAAGCATCTGTACGCTTATGTTTATTGCAGCACTATTTACCATAGCCAGTATCTGGAAACAACCTGAGTGCCCGAGAATAGATGAATTAATATAGAAACTATGGCACATCTACACAATGGAATACTATGCAGCTGTCAGTAAACTAAAGTCATGAAATTTGCCTATAAATAGGTGGACATGCTGAGTCAAATGAGTCAGAAGGAAAGGGACAGATATAGAATGACTGTATTTATGTGTGAGATATATATATAAAAAACCAGTATGACGCTAATATCCAATGCCAGGGAAAACAGGCCAGGAGGTCTGGTCAATGGTTGGCCAATGGTGTGGGAGATAGAGGGTAGTTAAGACACAGGAGGATACATATGACAATACTAGTTGGAAATGATCACTCTGGACAAGAACTAAGTATTGAAAGCAGGTAAAGAGATAAACATTACAAATTTTCAGCATCTGTATTGCAAACCATAATCACTAAAATGAGAGATAAGGGAAAGGAGAAAGAAATGAGAGAGAGGAGAGAGAGAGAGATAGAGAGAGAGAGGAGTGCCTGTCATAGAGGCAGGCTGGGGTAAAGGGTGGCTTCAAGGGGTTGGAGGGAAACTGGGGACACTGGTCACTGGTGCTGGGAAATTACACTGGTGGAATGATGGGTGTTGGAACATTGTACGACTAAAACACAATCATGAACAATTTTGTAATGCTCTATCTCATGGTGATTTAAAAAAATTTTTTAAAAGAAGTGTATCCTTTCAGATATGAGGTACTTCCCCTTTTTTCACTTAAGATGAATTCATTAGAATCAATTACTAAAAGTCAGATCTTCTCAGTAATTGGTTTGATACACGTTATGAATTTTTTGCTGGATATCTGTTTTTCAGTACTGATGTTTATTTTGGTTGGAATTTAGGCTTAGTTTTGCTTTAGATTTCTATCGAGTATAACAAAATTTGTTAGGTTATGACCCTTATCTCCTAATTTTGAAAAGTTTGTATTTAATAAATATGCACACATGTATTTGAATTCCTATCATTTCTAGTCTGGCTCATGAATTTATCTTTCTAAATTTGAATTGGTGTCTGTTTTATTACGGTTTTGTAGTATGTCAGATAATCTGGCTAGGCTAGCTTGCACTATCCAATATGGCAGCAATACGTGGATATTTAAACTATGACAATTAAAATTAAAGTTGAATATTCAGTTTCTCATTTATACTAGTCATATTTCAAGTACCAGTGTGATCACTTGTGGCTAAGTTACTGTATAGGGCAGCACTGGTCACTGTCACTGTCCTCCCGTTGTTCATCAATTTGCTCGAGCGGGCCCTGTAACGTCTCCATTGGAGACTTTGTTGTTACTGTGTTTGGCATATCAAATACATCACGGGTAGTTTGCCAGGCTCTGCCGTGAGGGCAAGATACTCTCGGTAGCTTGCCAGGCTCTCCGAGAGGGGCGGAGGAATCGAACTCGGGTCGGCCATGTTGGCTGCGTGCAAGGCAAACGCCCTACCGCTGTGCTATCGCTCCAGCCCTGTAGAGCAGCACACAACTCAAAGATTTAGGCTAGTTGCTATTCACATATGGTTTTCATTCCTTCTGTTCATAGTGTTTAAAAGAGTGTTTTGTTAGCAATTTTGCCTAGATAGGCAATACATTTTAGAATAAAATCCTATAATTTGTGTTTGTTTTAGTTTGGGGCTGGAGCGATAGCACAGTGGGTTGGGCGTTTGCCTTGCATGCGGCCGACCCCACCAACCCAGGTTCGATTCCTCCACCCCTCTCGGAGAGCCCGGCAAGCTACTGAAAGTATCTCGCCTGCATGGCAAAGCCTGACAAGCTACCCGTGACGTATTCGATATGCCAAACACAGTAACAACAAGTCTCGCAATGGAGACGTTACTTGACCCTCTCAAGCAAATCGATGAACAACAGGAGGACAGTGCTACAGTGCTTCAGTTTTAGTTTGGGGCCACACCCAGTGGTGCTCTGGTTTTACTCCTGAGTCTGTGCACAGGGATCACTCCTGGAAGGCTCAGGAAAACACATGGGATGCTGGGGAATGAACCTGAGTCAGTCACGTGCAAGGTAAGTGCCCTACTCACTGTACTATCACTCAAGCACCCAGAATAAAATCCTATTAAAAAGTGCCCTACTCACAGTACTATCACTCAAGCACCCAGAATTAAATCCTATTAAAAATCCTATTTTTATAAATTAATAGGATTATTTCATGGAATTCCTTCATGGAATAATTAAATATCACATTTATTCACCTTTTAATGTTGAAAGTAGGTTGCATACACTAGTTACAGTTAGCAAAAGTATACATCTGTTGTAATCTTCTATTTTGAAACTATATTAAAAAAAATCTAGGCCAAGGTAATAATGAGGGAAAAGAAGAGAAAGAACAATACAGGAAAATTGGGAAGAATGAGTTTTGGAAGGAAAGAAATGGCAGAGACTTACATTCTTGGTAAGAAAGAAAATACCTACTGAGTAAGCTTTATGGAAAGTTCTATAGGAGTTTAAAAATTATTGCATTTTTACAACTACTGGCAAATCTTTGTGTCTATCTATCATCATATCTACTGATATAATTTATCTACATAGATGTAACAAATTTGATGTGTATCTTGTTTATCAAGTAATTCAACCTATCAATGATTTCAAGCTCCCCGTGACATATTCGATATGCCAAAAACAGTAACAAGTCTCACAATGGAGATGTTACTTGTGCCCGCTCGAGCAAATCGATAAACAATGGGAGGACAGTGCTACAGTGTTATCAATGATTTAATTAAGTAAGATAGACCACTACTGGCCAATAAGTGCTTAGTATATCTGGCATATTCTTTGAAGGAAGAAAAATACTTTTTATCCCTCCCAATTGCATTCTGTTAATGATAACCAAGACGGAGCCTGACTGTGGACTGGGTGTCAGGGCTATGCATTACTTAAGGTGTTTGCATGCTCAGCTGCAGTGTTTGCCACGGGTCACAATCCTTTATGCTTGCACATTTGCTCACTGAAGCTCATACACATTAGTTTTGTGTTCATGCATTTTCCGGTTATAGTTATTTTCTCAGGTTACATTCTTAGCTGCTTGCTTAAATCTTGGGATATTTGCTGCAGCTCAAGCCTTCTAATTACAGTATCTGCACATATTTGGCTTTGGGCTGTTTGGAAATGGCCTCATTCGTGTGAGAATCTCAGATAGCTGAGGTGTGACACAAACAGCATAGCTGCCAGGATTGCACTGGACACATTTGGAAGTACCACAGATTGAGTCTAGAGCTTCCTGCTTTCAACATTGTTCCTTTGGCCACTGAGTCATTTCCCAGTCCTAGAAATATACCTTTCTTCTAAGTCTCTAGAAAAAAGTGCACTTTCCTTCATTTAAGATTAAAAATATAATAAAGGGATGAAGAGATAATCTAGCGGGTAAGATGCTTGCCTTGCACTTGGCCGACCAAGGGTCAAACCCCACTACCGTACATGATCCACTGAGCTCTCCCAGGAGTGATCCCTGAACTCAGAGCCAGGAGTAAGCCCTGAGCACTGACAAAATAAATAAATAAGAGGGCAGAGAACACAGCAAGCAGGGTGCTTGCTTCACACATGCCCAGCCTGGCTTCAATCTCCTGGACTCCATATGGTCTCCTGAGCTTTGACAGAAATGATTCTTGAGCAGAGAGCCAGCAGTAAGCTCTAAGCATTGCTGGGCTGGACCCCAAGCAAAATAAAAAAAAATTGGTGATAGAATAAAACAGGATCAGAATGTTCCAGACATTAATAAAGAGAAAGCTATGCTTTCTTAAGTTTACTTACAAGGACCAGTTAACCAGATTCCCCACGATGAGCAACACCATTCTATCCTGGAAAGAACAGAAACATCAACTCAAATCCCAGAGACTCTACTTCTCTCTCAGTCTCCTATAAGGGAAGCATCATCAACTGCCTTGGTGAAGCCATTTTTCTGTGGTTCTCAGGGAGACATGAATCCTGCATGAATGCTAAGTGACCACACCTCTGAAGGCAAGCAAAGGAAAATGTGGAAAACGGTTAATAAAGCTGTACTCTTACTGCCCCCCCCCCCCCCCATTGCCAGCCCTTGTCCTCCATCGATGGAGCTATTGAACATGTGGTATCATTTCTCAGGGGTCTCAGCAAGAGATGCTGCCTGCTCAGTGGTTAAGAGATTTTTTCCCTGGAGTTAGGTCATCAACAATTATTGCTCTGGTTTGGGTTACTCAGTGGTTTCAAAGCAGATCTCACTTGTAGGGAATTAACTTCTGACCCAATACCCTGGCCACACAGGACTGGTTTCTAAGCCTTAGCCTTACTGTTCTAGTGGGTGGAGGATGAAAGTCCTCAGGGCAACTAAGACCAACTAAGCCCCCCCCCCCCCCCCGCCAAAAAAAAAAGCTCTCAATTTTTATTTGTATTTATTTAATTAGTTATTTATTTGTCTTGGGGGCATCATACCTGGAGGTGCTCAGGACATATTTTTGGCTCTTTGCTTAGCGATCAGTCCTGGTAAGCTCAAGGGATCATTATGGGGTCCTGGGGATCAAGTGTGGGGCAGCCGCATGCAAGGAAAGCACCCTCCACTGCTTTATTGCTCCAGTTACAAACTCTCAATTTTCAGTGCCTACATAGTTTGTTCAAACTTTTGAAGTCAAAGAATTCCCATATTTCTTTCTATTAAAAATCCTTTGGATATTGGACTGGAGACATAGTACAGTGGGTAGGGCACTTGCCTTGTACACATCCAACCTGGGTTCTATCCCTAGCGTCCCATATGGCCCCCTGAAAACCACCAGGGGTAATATCTGAGCACAGAGTAAGCCCAGAGTAAGCAGCACCAGGTATGGCCCCCAAACAAAATAAAAATTCTGTTGGATATAAACTTTTAGCAGGTACTTATTGAACTTCTGTGTGCCAAGTGGCAGCAGCATCGTGACTTTTGGCCAGGTGCTCCCAGGATGTATGGCTCCTGTTCAAGGTCACTGATATGGGCCAAGGAACAGCTGGACGTGGAAGCCTCTGCCCAGTGTCAAAATGTATAATATAATGAAACAGTAAGGTAGAATTTTAAACATATATATTTTGATCATTAAGAAATGGTTCCAATTTGGAAAAAAATATTCTTGTTCATTGTAAAAATGAAGCAGTGTCTAAACATTGAATGCACGTGTCATGGAGATACGGTAGGCTCTTAAGAAAAGTGATTTAAGTAACTGTATGCTTGCTCGTGACAGTATCGTCTTTCCGCATTACAAACTCAATAATGGTATCTCTTTAGGTGATTATCCATAGGGATATAGAACTCGATTCTCCTGACAGTGGTTATCATTGTTTAATAGTTTTGTGAGTTTCTCTATATCTCTCATGTATATAGTAGCTAAAGCTATGAATGAAAATGCAACTACCCAGCTTATCATTCAAAAATGACAAGAAGAGTAAGTGGGGACCAGGAGAGATGGAACAGCCGGCAGGGTGCTTGCGTTGCAAGAGATCAACCCTGCGTTGATCCCCAGGATCACATAGGTACCCGCTAAGTCCCACCTGGTGTCATCCTTTGGCTCAGAGCCACTGGTAAGCCCTAAGCACAATTGGGTGTGGCTGCCACACCACCTTAAATAAAAGGAGCAAGTGGCATGCTTCTCCTACCACCTGGGCCTCAGCCACCCTCACTGTCTTGATCTGGGGAGACTGAGTGATTCATGACCTTCACCTCCTGCTGTTCCTAATGTTTGGGTGAAGGTCAAGGACCACAGGAGCACGCACGTACCATGTACAGAGGCCGGCTGCACTGCTGGACGAAGTCTGTGTAGAAGACCCTCGCGGCCCGCCGGAACATCCCCAGATCTGCTGACAACACAATCACATGGTAAGAAGGCTGGGGGCAGGATGGAGCTGTCCTCACCTCACTAGCATGGCACTGCACTGGTTACATGAGCAAGAAGTGTTTGCTCTCACAAAAGGCACCTGCCAACCATGCCATCGGGGAGGTTTATGCATCAGACTACAGAGATGCAAGATGGACGAGAGGAACAAATGCACATAAACAACTTGGGGGACTGGCCAGCCCCTCAGGACCCCCTTCAGCAAACAGTCTCTTTGCTGAATCTACCACAAAATGTTTGTACTACAGAGCAAGGTTTCTCAACCTTTTCCTGACTACTGCCTCCTTCTAACCTTGTTTTCTTACTAAGGACCTCACCTCCTACAAGCTGGCCAGATACCTCCTGCTGTGCCCCTCCTTGGGGATCCCCAGGGGAGGCCATATGACCCCTCTACCTTGCGGAGAAACTCTGTTGTAGAGAATGAGAAATAGTAACCTGCTAAAGTTTTAATTCATATTTCTCATTGTGTTGCTAAATCACGAAAAACTCCACCAAGATACTGTGTTCTACTCAAAGTGCTCAGAAAGCATCTATGCGTGCTGGAGCAATCATCAAAGGAAGGCAAGTTATAAAGGGGAGAAAAATATAGGAAAGACTTAGTGAAATACAATCCTTGTAAAGGATGAAACAGCAAGTACTCGTGCTAGGGAGAGTCAGGGTCAGAGTTAGAGCTGTCTGTGAGGCTCTGCTCCAAAGTGGCTGGGGTCTTCTCCAAGCAAGCATCTCTGCAGGGCAAGGGTAGGTGCAGTTCTGCAGGGAGGCTTTGGTTACTATGACTTGACACCTGGGATCAGTTGAACCACCACGCACTGGATTAATAGGGGGCTTGAGTGGCAGTCGCACAGAAGGGGTGCCCTGCAGGCTGATTTGGATGAAGTCCATCTTTTGTGCTTCCTCTCCCCACACTGACTGGTGTGTGCTGGTGCAGAACTGGCAGGGAAACAATCTAGAACTTGGGAAAGGTGGTTGAACATTACCTGTGTCAGAAACATCTGAATCAGTAGGAAGCAGAAAAGAAATGAGAAAGAAAGGGAAGAAAAAGTTGTAAGAGCAGAGTCAAACAGGTCAACTGCTGGTCATCTTATTTTCTCTCAAAACAAAAGACTTAATTTTTTTCCAATTACAAAAGTAATGCTTTCTCATACGAAAGAACACAATCTTTTGATCTGCACTCACATTCTGAAGCTGACTATTCCCCTGAGTGGATTCTCTTTTCTCTCAACCTGTCTCCTTTTGAACATCACTTGCCCTTTAGAACTAATCCATACTCTCCCAGGTTTGTGCTCTGTGCCCTGCTTCTTGTGTTCTTCTCACAGCAGAAGGACTCCAGGCCTGCGTGGGTAGCTCCATGCAGTTCTATCCATGCTCTGCCTTCTGTGTCCACTCTTATTTCCACAGGTAGCCCCAGGGTCTAAGAAAGGGGCATGCTTTTTCTTTGAGAATACAAACAAAGACAGTTTGTATAATGGGCAGGGGGGTAGGGGTGTTGCCTGGACCACTAACCCAGTTTCCACATTGCTCTATCCTGTGCCCTACCAGGGGAGGTGACTATGCAGGTGTGTCAGTGAAGTTCTCAAAGGGTGGACGGGGACAATAGGATATCTTGGTAGAAGAGGCAAAGACTGTGGAAGAAGAATGAATTCAGACTTCTTGTCTACCTGGTACCCTAAATGGGAAGTTGCCTCAAGCTGGCTGTCAACTGCCCCTTTCTTTTCACACCCTCTCTACCTACCACCTCTCCTTCTATGTTCTGGGGACACTTCTTCCCTATCCTGTAAAGAGCTTCTGGACAATTAAAGAATTTTATGATTCTTCTCTATCCCATCCATTGTCTTATGCATAGCCCCTGTGTAAAAATCCTGCTCAAATTTTACAAAGAATATTTTCTCTTATTGGGTCTCTGGCAGACCACAGCATGGACATAATATCATGCATCAAACATCTCATTCTTAAAAAGGTAAATAAATTTGCCGTTGCAAAATTGCATGGTGCAAAAGTACAAAGTATATTAAAAACTCCTGTAAGTATAATGATCACCTCCATGACATGTACCTGTGTCCAAGTTTATTTAATTTTCTGGAAGAACCCAGGTAAGCAACATCCAAATTAGCTTCTTTTGAAAGTTAAGCTTTTCTGAGTACCCTAACCTTGGGGTCTGGTGGGGGAGCATAATCAGATTGCCATATGAATTGTTCTGCACAATTGACTAATGATGTATACACCAGAACATCTGAGGAGAGAACAGCAATATTCAGGGTGAATCTACTGACCATGCCAAAAGGAAAAGGTAGACGGGCAAGATGAGAAATGCTTTCATTTAGTCTGAACGCCATGAGTCCAGGTGGAATTGATCTTAGACATTAAACTAAAGGCAAGTGACATCTAAACTGTAGACACCCTCAGTTTGCACTGAAAGAGAAATCTTCAGGGTAAGTTCCATTCCCACATCCTTCCTCCCAGAACATTTCACTTGCCTGAGTTCCCCGCCTGCTTTTGAAACCTTAGGAACCCTCCCTGCTCTAGCTTCCGGGGGATTGATGGCACTTCTCCAGAGGCTCACTGGAGGTTAGGGAATTTGTCATGGATTCTGCTGGTAAACATTTCCCTGCAAGCATATTCTTGGCATAACTAAGTGGCATGAAGGTACTTATGTTGTGAAAAGAAAGGAACTCAAAATAGAATAGGACCAAGAATTATAAAAAGGGATAAACATGAAAGAACTGGTTGACAGTTTTGTTTCATTTCTCTACTGGCTCAAATGTCTATGACTGGCTTTATTTAATGTAAAGGTAGTTGTCAGTGTGGGTTCACCATGCCATTGATGAAATAAGAAATGAAAATTTTGTGAAACTGATTTATTATCATTTTCTAGTAGAGTATTCAGCAAAGGGGATGACCCTGCCCACTAGGGCTGCTGAAACAAGCTGGGGGACCATTAGTATGTTGGGTGCAGTTGGGCTATTTGTTCTCTTAAAGAAGGCAGATTTTCAGAGCGGTTCTGTGTAATTTTCATTTCTCTCTGAAAGAGGGTAGCAAGTTAAATAAATTTGGGAACCTCAGTATTGGTAGGTGATCTGGCTTTACATTCATGGATTTCACACTTTCAGTTCTGAGCACTGAAAGATCCCTCCAAACATGTATAAAATGAGTGAATGATGGACTTGGAAAATAAGTGGTTAGGTGCAGGTCATTGAAGTAAAGACTTTGGTTTGTTTCTGGGCCACATTCAGCTGTGCTCAGGGCTTACTCCTGGCTCTGCACTCAGGAATTACTCCTGGCAGTGCTCAGCGGATCATATGGGATACCAGGGATTGAACCAAATGCCTTACCCACTGGGCCCTCAAATATATATTTAAATGTACTGGAATGGTTTGTACCTCTTTAAAATATATTTATATTAGATTATTTTGTAGGGCTGGAGCGATAGCACAGCGGGTAGGGCGTCTGCCTTGCACGCAGCCAACATGGGCGACCCGAGTTCGATTCCTCCGCCCCACTCGGAGAGCCCGGCAAGCTACCGAGAGTATTCGATATGCCAGACACAGTAACAACAAAGTCTCCAATGGAGACGTTATTGGGCCCGCTCGAGCAAATCGATGATCAATGGGAGGGCCTTTACTTTACTTTACTATTTTGTAGTTAAGTTAAAGACTAATTTGTCTCTTAAATTTTGTCATTAATTTTTCCTATCTCATTTTATCCTTTACAATGTCTCAATTTTCCTTTTATTTTCTGTTTTATTGAAAAAGAAAAATCAGTTCTTTGCACAGCATTGCCATAAATCTCTACCCAGATGGAAAAAAGTCTTATTTTACTATGTCCTTTCTCTATTTTGGTTTTTATTCTTTTTTAATAGAAAATTTGCCTCGTGACTAGAATTTGTTATGTTGCAAGAATGTCTTTGGTGAAAATGCTGGCAGTGAAACTGGCAAAACTACCTAGAGCTGGAAGAGGTGTCCATTATGTAAGATGATAAGACCTGTAAGATTCAGCAGAGAGGGCTGGGAATGAGACTCAGAGGTAGAATACATACTCTACCTTGTATGGGCCTTGTATGGGCAAGGTTCTGAATTTGAACCCCAGCACTGGGAAAAAATAGATTTGGTACAGAGTTGGGAGGAAAAGAAGGTGGAATCTGGTATCAGTTCTCTTACACAGCTATGTTCTGCAATGTTTTTCCAAGGAAATGAGAAATCTACATCTAAACCTGGACCTTACAGGTTGTAATGAAGGAATGTTCATTTATAAACTTCCTTCCTTTCTTCCTCCCTCCTGTCCTTCCAGTTATGGAACAATGTTTTAGTCTGCCTTATGAATTAACATTTTACAGTATGACATAGCACAGCGATAGGGCGTTTGCCTTGCATGCAGCCAACATGGCCAACCCGAGTTCGATTCCTCCGCCCCTCTCGGAGAGCCCGGCAAGCTACTGAGAGTATCTCGCCCGCACGGCAGAGCCTGGCAAGCTCCCCGTGACGTATTCGATATGTCAGACACAGTAACAACAAAGTCTCCAATGGAGACATTACTGGCCCCGCTTGAGCAAATTGATGAACAACGGGAGGACAGTGGTGACAGTGGTGAGTATGACACCTGGCTTTTACTTCCAGTCTTGTCTTGGGCTCTGCAAATAATAGGTGTGGTCTTTGCTGAGGTGCAAATAATCCAATAGTGTAATTTCATTCAATCATTCAATTTCATTTTTTTGAGGGGGGTTATGATATTGATGAGGAAAAAACCCAGTTCCTGCCTGGGAGCACTGTGTGGAGTTTGCATGTCCTTCCCATGGCTGCATAGGTTTACTCTGGGTATTTGGCTTCCTCCCACTGCCTATAGAGGTGCATGTTAGGGTTACTGGTGTATTTTTGTTATCCCAGTCAGAACACATATGTGTGTGGTGTAGAGCTCCTGCAGAGAAAGGGCATCCTGTCCAAATCAGCTTCTGCTTTGTGCCCTGAGATACTATTTTCCACCACCCGAGATCCTGGACTGGAATACACAGGATGAATGAACACATATTCTAAATAAATGCAAAGGGATTATTGAAAGTGATAATTATGTTGGATTTGTATATGGAGACTTGTCTTTATTTAGACAGAAATACACTATAGGAACTTGACTTTTGTATGATCTTGTAGAACTCTTATGTAAATTTATTTTAATCAGGGTAAAATTTGGTTTAATTCTGGGATATTTTCCTTAAGGTTACAGTGTCCAAAAATACACTGACAAAGTTAAATGAGAACTTAATGTCTACGGCTTTTTTCTTGAAAATTATAAAAGTCTGATTTCCTAGCTTTTAAAATGACTGGTGAAACTTAAATGATATAATATTCCACCTGCTCCCCTGGATGGAAGCTGATACCAGCAGATCGAAAATTGGTTTCTGTAGAATACGGTATTATTATGTGATTGCTTCGTCAAGGTCCAACAAAGTCCCATCACTAAGGTTAGGACGTTCATCTTTCAGAAATTTCAGTCCCTGGATTGAAAATAACGTAAAATTTATTTTGAATAATCATTTAGCATGGTTAGAGAAACGTATCTTTTTAGTATTATGAACTAAAAAGTACTCCTCTAGGTGAAAATAGTGGTTGATACCACAACATACATTCAAAGCTTATTTTTTGGTAGACTGGCAAATGTTTGGGACTGGAGCTCAAGGTACATCTCAGTTCTAAGGACCAGCTAGCATTATAATTTTTCAGTTGGAAATGAAACAAGCCCTACTAGTTTACTGCAGCCCTCTGAGGGAGAATATATGCCACTTCACACACAGTGTTCAGAGTGTGTGTCTGGGTGAACAGTGCCATGACCATCTCGCATTGGCAAAGACCTATGATGTGTTGGGGCTGTCTTCATCGGTTTGCTGTGTGGAGAGAAACTGGGACTCACCTATTTTGAAACGGCCCAGGTAGTAGATCTGCGTGCTGATGGCCAGAGAGGCCAGAATATGGATGGCAGAGAAGATGATCCAGAACCACAAGTCATTTTTTCCAAACACCTAGGAGCAAAATGGAAGTTACTTGCATCTTGGATTTTCCCAGAGAATTTACAAAAATAGCTCTACCCCTCACGTATGGATAGTCAAAAATCAAGCTGTTGTGCTTGCACGCACCCAACACTACAAATTGAAAGACTCGAACCCCATGCAATGGGAGGATTGCTGAGAGCTGGTGTAAGCCCAGAGCATTGCCGGATGTGGTACAAAACCCTCCAAGAAAAAAAAAAAAAGAAGAAGAACGAATGAAAGTCTGAGCTGTGTGTGCATCTGTGGTTTCTTTTCTCCCATCTCTGAGCTCATACGACCATATGAAAATGTACCCTGACCATATGAAAATGGTTGAGGGGACTATGGCCTATGCCTCAGTGGATTTAAACTAGAGCAAGTGTGCGGCTGGGAGCTATTCCCTGTGTTCCTCACACACTGTGTGGTTCTGACAGCCCCGGGAGGAGGAACTGAACAACCCGGGGGCCAGGCCCACAGACCTAAGCCAAGAGTTCAGATCTTTAAGTAACTAAAGACAGGAACGCTGGCGCAGCCACCTTTTGGAAGAGGTTCCTGTTCTCTTGTGATAGCCTCTTATCAGCTTGTACACGCCTATTCCAGCTCTCCTGAATTGGGTCCAATATTCCAGGTTTAGTTCAACAGGTGCCCATTGTATTATTAAAAACAACTCGCTAGGGGCAAGGAACCAGCTCATGCAGAGCACATGCAGACCATGTGTGAGGCTCTGGGTTTGAGCCCAGCGTGTATCGTTGACCCGGGCTGGGCCAGGCCCCATTGCAGAGTGGGACCAGGGCCTCTCATCACAGCTTGGGTACGGCCCCTTATTTAAATTAAAAAACACACAAAACAAAAAAAATCATAAAAACAACAATGACCAAAAAAAAAAAAAGGTAAAAAAGAAACTGAGATAAATTCACAAAATTACAAGAGTAAAGCCAGGAGCATGATTCATTTGGGACTAGTTAATTCCATTCCTCTGGTAATCAGCAGGCCCTTTTGGAGAGGTGGGCTGCAGGCAGGGGCAGGGGCCATACCACTCCGAGGACGGTGAGTGTGATGACCACGGCGAAAGAGGCGTAGGCGGCGTAGGCGCTGGCATTGATGTCGGGGTGGCGTGTCTGATAGAGCTTCAGCATGCACAGGCCGGCGATCATGTACATGAAGGAAGTGTCTGGGGGTGCAGAGAGGCAGCAGCCAGCATGCGCTGAGTCAGTCACCTTTACTGTGCTCAGACTATGGACACCTCTTCACTTACTAGACACAGTCTCTAAACAAACTCCCCATACGTTCCTCCCAACCCTCTCCAGAGCTGTGCCATAGATAACTGACTGCACCCCGTGCCCAGCCCTTGAAGGGTTGCTGTGTTTAAAGACTGGCTGGATGATCATCGATAAACAACCCTTAAAGGTGAGAGCGAAAAGAATCCTAGTAGGGCTGGAGCAATAGTATAATAGGTAAGGAGCTTGCCTTGCACATGGCCAAGTTGGGGTCCATCCCAGTCACCCCATATGGTCCCCCCACCCAGCTCCGCCAGGAGTGATCCCTGAGCACAGAGCCAGGAGTAACCCCTGATCCCTGCTCAAACACAAACAAAAAAGAACCTTAGGGGTCCTGGAATGCCTCACTGGCAATGTGTCTGCCTTGCATGTGTGAGGCTGGATGTCCATCCCTGGCATGGTCTCTAGGCTCAATGGCAGCCCAGCAGTGGCAGCTTGGTTATTTCTGGTCCCCAGATCTACAGCACAGTGTGTGAGCACCACAACCAAGTGTGCAGGGTCCTCCTTGCCCTCATGGCAATAATTGCTAATAACAACAAAAGAAAGGAAAAGAGAAGGGGAAGAGAAGAAGGAAGCAGAGATAGAAGAGAAGAGGAGGAGGAGGAGGAGAAGGAAGACGAATCAGAGGAGGTGGAAGGAGGAGAAAGTGCAGGAAGAGGGAAAGAAAAAGAATCCTAGAGAGGTGTTGGAGCTGCCACTTATCATTCTAAAGTAAAACCACATGGCTTTTTAGTTCAGAGATGGAAAACCACTTTAAATAGAAATTAAAGGTAGCTTAGCTGAGGAGAACGAAGGAAATGCAATTTAAAAGAAAAATGCGATGTCCCTGATTGCTGAAAAAATGTGCCCCAAAGATAAATGTCTGACAGTAACATACATTAGTGATGAGGTAAGGAACTGGAACTCCCAGGTAGCTAGTGAGTGGGAATTAATTCTGGGGGAAATTTGGTTGTTTCCATAATTTGGAAAAGGCACACACAGAGATTGGCAAAATTTTGCAGAGACACTCTCTCACGTGTGGACCAAGAGTTGTGTACAAGGATATTCATTGTAGCACTGAAGGTACTCAATGTTCTTATAAAATATTGATAAATATTTAAAACATTTTTTAATTTAAAAATGTTGCAATACAGTATAATAAATTAACAGTATGATTTAATTCACTACAACTATAATAGAGCTATGAAAACAAACTGGAAGAGTAAATACCAAATTAATTATAGTTGCTGCCTCTGGGGAAGGGGACAGGAAAAAAAAGTTTGAAGAACAGATCAAATTAGGCCCTCAACTTTACACAAAATTGTATTCATTTAAAAAACAGATCAACATTGTATAACTGAAACCCAAGCACAAAAATTTATAAGTCTATAGCTGTACCTCATGGTGTTTCACTAATAAAAAAAAAACAGATCAAAGAGGGGCTGGGGTGGGGCTCAGTGGTAAAGTACATACAGAAGATCTGGGTTCGATTCCTGATACCACCAAAAAAGATTTTGAACGGTGGACGTAGCTCAATGTAGAATGGCTATCTTGCATATGCAAGGCCCTGGGTTAGATATGAGGTCCTGGGTTCAATCTCTGCTAATCACACAAAAAAATTTAAAGTAGATTTGGTGAATATTTTAAAATTTGATAAACTGTTCATTTTGGAGTAGTGAGTTCTTTGTAGTTTTATTTATTCAAGTATTTTCTCATTTGAAAATTAAATTGAGTCTCTCTTTCACTCGGGCCTGTGCTGTTGGCAGGATGGGTAAGTGTCGAAGTCTCCATAGTGCCCGGAAGCTCTACAGCCCCCAGTGGGATCAGGAGTGGCATGACAAGCGGTACGAGAGAGCGCATTTGGGCAGGGCCCAAAGGCCAACCTTTCGGGGATACTTTCCATGCAAAGGGCATGGTGCTGGAGAAAGTTGGCAGTGAGGCTAAACAGCCAAATTCTGCTATGAGGAAGTGCATCTCAGTTCAGCTAATCAAGAATGGAATAAAAAAAAAATCACAGCCTTTTGTACCCAGTGGTGACTGCTGAGATTTTATTGGGGAAAACGGTGAAGTTCTGGTTGCTGAATTTGATCGCAAAGGGCATGCTGTTGGTGACATTACCGGAATCTGCTTTAAGGTTGTGTGTCAGTGTGTCTCTTTGGGCCTTACACAAAGGCAAGAAGGAAAGACTGAGATCATAAGTTTTGATGATGAAAGCACAGTAGTAATAAGTTTTCATATTAAAAAAAATTGAGAGAAAATCTCTGTGATGTTTGAGTGAGTCCTTAGAAACCAGGGCAAAACCATGAAAACTGTCTTAAAATTCCTTATCTTTGATCCTGCTCAGTGTTAATTGCTCAATACCAGCACTAACTCTTCTTTTTCTGCTTCCTAACAGCAACTCAGAACTAACTCAAATATTTTGGCTCCATTTTCAGTTCAGAAATGTATACCTTCCCCACCAGGGTCTGGGGTTGGTTGAGCAAAAGGTCATCCACTGCCTCAACCTATAACTAACTGCTCTAACACCCCAGGCCTCTGCTAACCAGCAAGAGGGCATGATTCTGAAAACTGCGCTCAATTACTTCAGCTATTAAAGTGTAAGGGAATGTTATCTGGGGGTTTTGAAGAATAAGTTCTCTTGATTTTAAATCAAGACTCCTAGAAGCCTTGTTGACATCTCCAGACACTGTGGGGGTAGAGATGAGAAGCCAGAGCCTGTAGCTATTTGTATCACCTTGAAGAAAGACAGACTGAAAATAAAACCCCAATACAGATAGATTACAAAGGAATCGTAGAGAGAATAAGCCAGAGGCCCCCAAGAAACCAACTACAAGCCCTTTCAAGCCATCTGATAAATTTCCTTATCGTTTAATCCAATTTGAAATGATTTTTCTATTAATTTCATCCTAACACTGTCTAATCGCTAAATCAGGCAAATTGATACCAAGGCTTATTTCTAGATGTCTGATGGTACATAGTGTCTGAGACACTGTATGATCAACACTTAATTCATTAACCACAGTTAGATCTAGCCAGGGTATCAACATTCAGTTGGGGCATGTAAATTCTAATTACCGAATTGGAAGTTGGAATAATTAGGGCAGACGTGGTAGCAGGCGCTGAGAACTCCTTCCATGATCAATGCGATGCCCATGGCATAGAAGAGACCAAAGTGTTTGGGAATCCCGTACTCCTGAAAAAGGAGAAAGCACGAGGGATCGAAGAAGAGTCACCAACATAACCATCGAATAAGCCTACACTTCCTTGCCATCTGCAGGCTGTAATCCACCATCACATCCTTTAGTCCCTCCGCACTGTCTGAGGTCTGAAACCATCACCCTTCCTCGATTCCAACTCTTCTCACCATGGCAAAGATGTCTTTGGCTTCCAGAGCTCTCCGATGGAGAATGTCCCGGCGCAAGACTATCAGCAGGAAGAGGAACCCCAGGAGCACGTGGCCTAGGTTACTGAGAATGTTGTTGAAAGCACTGAAGAGAGAAGAGAAGACAGTGAGAAAGTGAAGATATCTTCAATAAGAGATTTTAAGCCCAAACAAAAGTACAAATAAGTTAGTAAACATGGAAAATATTTTCAGTCAACTCTTCCTAAGGGTTCCAGGACAGGAAAGTCATAAGTCATTAATTGAATCACTGTGAGATACAGTTACAAGCTTTCATGTTTGACTTACAATCATACAATGATCAAACACCCATCCCTCCACCAGTGCACATTCCTCACCACCAATCTCCCCAGTATACCCCCACCCCTTTCCCACCCTGCCTCCCTGGCAGACAATTTCCCCCATACTTTCTACTTTTGGACATTATGATTTGCAATACAGATGCTGAAAGGCCATCCCATTTGGTCCTTTATCTAATTTCAGCACACATCTCCCTTCCCGACCGATCCATCCAACCATCATTTTCTTAGTGACTCCTTCTCTATTCCAGCTGCCTTCTCCCCCTGCTCATGAGACAGACTTCCAACTATGGAGCAATCTTCCTGGCCCTTGTGTCTACTGTTCTTGGGTTTCAGTCTCATGTTATTTTATACTCCACAAATGAGTGCAGTCCTTCTATGTCTAGCCCTCTTTCTGACTCATTTCACTTAGCATGATACTCTCCCTGTCTATCCACTTATAAGAAAATTTTATGACTTCATCTCTCCTAACAGCTGCATAGTATTCCACTGTGTAGAGGTACCATAGTTTCTTTAACCAGTCATCTGTACTTGGGCACTCGGGTTGTTTTCAGATTCTGGCTATTGTAAACAGTGCTGCAATGAACCCAAAATCTTCTCTTTAGGGTGCCTGTTCCGTGACAATGTGTCTGGTTCCTCTCTTAGGTCCTACTCAGCTTTTTGCACATCCACTCAGTCCTCTCTTTTTCCCTTGGCGCTGGCATGATGGGAATCCTGGGAGAGAGTTGTTCTACAGGAGGCCAGTTTGGCCAAGCCTCTCAGTTCCACGGAGAGAGACTGCTCAGACATAAACCCAGGGAGTTTTCTTTTTTCTCCTTAATTTTTATTGCAGTTTAAGTGGTTAACTGGACTCAGTAGTTCAGCTCTGTAAGTGGAGTTTCAGGATAAGAGCCAGTGGGACACATCCAGTGATTATATTTAAGGAAACTGAGGCTACTTCATTTCTAGGAAAAGAAGTCATACGTGTTCTTTGCCCTTCACATTGTTCTGGGGAAGTAACATGGCCTGGGAGGAATCAGGCCAAGATTTAAGTCCTGACATCACTAAACTCTGAAAAATCTTCAGCAAGTCATTACCTCTCAAAGTCTCAGGTCTCCAACTAAAATGAAGAATAATAATACTCTATCTTGCCCATGAATTTTAGTGCTCTCAAAAACATCCCCACTTTTCTTCTCAGCAGATTATTCTCCTCTCCCCTCCCCTCCTCTCCTCCTTTCCTCTCCCCTCCACTCCACTTCTCTTTCCCTCCCCTCCCTTCCCCTCTCCTACCCTCTGCTTCTCTCTTCCTCTTCTTCTCCCCATCCTTCTCCTCACACCTGCTGATGCTCAGGGATTGGTGACTCTTGGAGCTTTTCTCCTTACTAGGAGGTTGCTCCCAATGGTGCCTAGGATTGAACCTGGGCCTCCCTTCATGCCAAACTCTTTGAACTATCATCCAACCCATCAGGTTATTTTTAAGAACCTTTCTTAAGGTCCCCTCCCCTGACCTCATACACAAATGAGAGGGAAACAACTGATTTCAACCTTCTGATATTCCTCTTTACCCTTGACTGAGATAGTTTTACATCATTGTTTCTAGTATTTTAAAAACTGAATCACAGTACCACACAGGAAGGCATCTCCAAATGAGGACACTGAGAGGCTTACCTCAGGACTCCCAAGGGGTGAGCACAGAGGAAGTTGTAGTAGCAGATGTCTTGGTTGCCAGTGACATTTACCACCTGTAAAATTAAGAGCAAAAAGAGAGAGCCAGCTTCTCTCTGTTGTCTGAGTCCAGCCTGAGGCCACAAAAAGCAGACTTTATAGTGATATTCTGTCAGTGATTTACAGTGTAACTCTTTGCTCCTCAGCAAGGAATGGACCATTATCTGCCCATTATCTTCTTTACACACAGAATCATTCACCTTCAAATGCTATTTGCTTTGAGTTGAAATACTCCCTGGAGAAAGAAAACCATCTTCAACAAATTATGCTAGGAAAATCTAGTTAGCCACATGGAGAAGAAAGAACAAATGAAAGAGTAGGGGCCAGAGCAATAGTATAGCTAGGAGGGCATTTGCCATGCATGTGGCTGACCTGGGTTCGATCCCTGACACCCTATATGGTTCCCCTGAGCACCACCAGGAGTAATTCCTGAATGCACAGTTAGGTGTAAACCCTAAGCAACGCTGGGTGTGAACCCCCTAAAGTCAAAAAAAAACAAAAAATAAAAAAGAACAAAAGAATAGAAGGCAGGAAGGAAGGAAGGAAGGAAGGAAGGAAGGAAGGAAGGAAGAAAGAAGGGAAGGAGGGAGGGAGGGAGGGAAGGAGGGAGGGAGGGAGGGAGGGAAGGAAGGAAGGAAGGAAATAAGGAGACTACTATCTCACAGCATATACAAAAATCAAAATGAATTAAGATCTTGATGTTAGACTTTAATCCATAAAATACATGTAACATCAAGATCTTAATTCATTTTGATTTTTGTATATATGCTATAGTGCCCTGAGCCTTGCCAGGTGTGATCCCTGAGAGCAGAGCCAGGAATAAGTCCTGAGCACATCCAGGTGTGCCCAACCTTCTCCCTACCCGCCCCCCCCTAAAGTTGTAATATACTCAATGGAATACTACTCAGCTATACTATGAAAAAATGACAATCTTGCCTTTCACTACAGATTGGATGAAATTTGGGGGAGTCACACTAAATGAAGTGAGTCAGAAAGAAAAGCACAAAGATTAGATTACCTCGTGTCTATGTGGAGTGTAAAGAAATAAAGTAAGCAAATAGGCAATGATCAATAAGAAACAACCTTAGAGTACGCCAAGGGGGATTGTGGGGAGGAGGGCCAGATGAGAAGGAATCTGGGGACAGTGGTGGAGGGCTATTGGCACTCTGGTAGTGGGTTTGATGCAGTAATTCTGTAGCACAGCGGGTAGGGCGTTCACCTTACACGCGGCCAACATGGCCGACCCGAGTTCGATTCCTCTGCCCCTCTTGGAGAGCCCGGAAAGCTACCGAGAGTATTCGATATGCCAGACACAGTAACAACAAAGTCTCCAATGGAGACGTTACTGGGCCCGCTCGAGCAAATCGACGATCAACGGGAGGGCCTTTACCTTTTACCTTTATAATATTAATATTGATTCTATTTAAATCATGTTAGCTGCATAAAAATTTAGTAAAAAAAACCAAAGATATTATCAGTGTCTCCCATTACTGCCTGAAGGAGGAGGAGTTTACCCAAGAAACTCAGTTTCCTTTCTTCTCTTTATAAAAGGGTCATGAATGAAGATTAACACTGCAACCCTTCAATTAGTTGCACTAAGTCTTATTTTTTAATAATCTAGTTGAAGGCTTGAAGGGTCTAGAGATGCTGTAGCCTCCATGTGGATCTGCTGCCCATGGATAGGTAGACAGAATGTGGCAGGTTGGTTTTTGGCTTTCTATATGTTCAACATCTTTATCATTAGAAACTTCTCAGGGCTGAAGAGATAGTACGTTGTGTGGGGTGTTTGCCTTGAACACGGCTGACCTGGGTTCAATTCCTGGTACCTCATTAGGTTATATAATCCCGTGAGCCTCTCCAAGAGTGATCCCTGAGTGCAGAGCCCAGATTAAGCCCTTTCAGGTATGGCCCCCAAATCAGCATTAAACAAAAAAAAATTTCCCAGATTACAACACAGATTATTGTTTGACAGCATCCCAAAGTATTCAGAGAATATTTAGGTTATAAATATTTTGAGAAATAAAAGCTTTAAAAATCCTAGTCCTTATCAAATAATAAGTATGATATAAATGAAATACTATTAGACCATTAGCTTCCAAATTTGACAACATTCAACTCACTAGGACTTTGTTTAAGTAGTATGAGTGACTGGTTTCACTTTCAGATTCTGATCCGTTAGTGTGGGTACAGCTGGGACACTGGGAATGAAATTGAATTGGTTAGTTTTTGTTTTGCAGCCACTCTTGGTGGTGCTCACAGGCTACCCCTGACTGTGCTCTGTGCTGGGGCCACTTCCAGTGTGCATGGGGGACCATGTGATGCTGGAATCAAAGGTGAGCTTCTAATAAGCAAGCATGCACTCTGGCTCTTGGGGCGATTGCCACTGAGTCCAACTGGAAGTTTATTATTATTTTTTAGGGGGTGGCAGTTTGGGTGATACTTGAAGCTGCTCAGAGCTTACTTCTGGCTCTCCACTTGGGGGTCACTCATGGCAGGGCTTGGGGTTCACATGGGGTGCTTTGGCTAGAATCTGGGTCAACCTTGTGCAGGTCAAGCACCCTGCCTTTAAAAAAAATTATTAAAGCTCCGTAATTTACAAAGTTATTCATGTTGAGCTTTAGACATACAGTATTGCAGCACCAATCCAACCACCAGCGTCAACTTCCCTCCACCGGTAATCTCAGGTTCCCTCCCGTATCTCCCGCTCCAGCCTTCCCTCTTGACAGGCACCTTTCTGAGTTCAGTTGTTAAAGTTTGGGTCTCTTACAAGGGGAAATGCCCTGCCACAGCGGCAGGGTGAGACGGGGGGATGGGGGGTGGGAGGGATGCTAGGACCCGTGGTGGGGGAGGATGGGCACTGGTGGAGGGATGGGTACTTGATCATTGTATAACTGAAACCCAAGCACAAAATTTGTAAGTCTATAACTGTACCTCATGGTGTTTCACTAATAAAAAAAAAAGTTTGGGTCTCTTGATTTCAGGGCTGTTGACTCTATGATTTGGATATTTGACTGTCATTCCTTAACACTGCCTTTATGCCTGACTCCCTGAGCTGGCCCCCACTGCCCAGCACCCTCGCTGCTGTACTCTCACCAGCCTTCTGGTAATTTAAAAGCTCCCGCATGTGGTTTTAGCACACAGAAAAGTTTGACTTAGGTCCACCTTCAGCCCTGCTAGTCTGAAATTCTCAGGTTTTCTCACAATAAATCCTACCAGAGATCGTTTTCGTGACCAGGACTGGGTCCTACGAAGGAGCAATGGGAATTTTCAGGCAGTTTAATTAGATTTTTTGTTCACATTGATTTTAGTTTTATTCCATATTTGAACTTTATTTCAATATTTGTTTTGTGATGCTGTTCTAACTTTCTCAAAAATACCCTCCATGAAAAGGAACAGGTTAAATTAGATGTTAAATCTGCTTAACTTGGTCAGGACTTTTGCTTATTCTACTCATCCCATGATTGTTAAAAATTTGGGCCGGTTCAGAGCCTAATGGACACCCAGGTATGAGACTGCAGTGACGAGGCACGTGGGGCCTCAGAGGATGAGGGTTGGAACCGGCCTTGCTCCCCGCCCTGAGGAGGCCCTGAGTTGCCACCCACGAACGCCTCTTCCGGCCTCTGAACGACCATGATCCCAGATGCACACAAACCAATCTCGGAACCCAGCAGCTTTGGGCAGAAATCCCTCCAGACTTATTACTAAAATATCAGAAATCCAAAATTGCACAGCTGCAATAGTGGCCGCGTGATTTCATATATTCTTCATAATCAGCAATAGAAAACAAATTATCTAATGATGCCTTTTTGGCAGGTCTCATTGTTGGGGAAAAATTCCAAATAATAATGGTGGGTCTTCTGTCATAATATTGAATGTGATCAAAGTAGAGAGATGGTAAAGTAGAAATCTTCTGCCACACAGGCAGGGGAAGGGTGGGAGGGGGGCGTATACTGGGATTCTTGGTGGTGGAAAATGTACACTGGTGAGGGATGGGTATTTGATCATTATATGACCGAGACTTAAACTTGAAAGCTTTGTGGCTGTTCTCACAGTGATTCAATAAATAAAAAATTTAAAAAACATTAAAAAAGATTAAAATTTGGGCAGGTAAATAACTAAAGCACTTGAAGATATGGAATAAATGAGTGCAAATTAATGATTCCAATTGGCAGAAAAATATATAGGAAGTTTCAGTAGCCTCTATAATAAAATAATTGGAACTTAAGACTTACTGGTCAACTAAATACGAGGTAATGGAGAAGTCTAATTGGACCCAAGCGGAGAAATGTCACTTGGACTGATCTTAATTTATGCCTTTCTCTGTAAGTTACAGCAAGATCCCTCCTTGTAGAATGGAAGCTGGGATTCAGGGGCAACACTTACTGTCTGGTAGGTGATCACGAGCTGGATCACAGGCAGTGCATAAAACACAGCAATGGTGACAATGTTCCTATGCAGGAGAAAGAATCAGAAAGAGTTATTTCCAAATTTAAAATGGAATCTTGACTTATTATTATTATTTTACAAGAATGCTTCTATTCCAAAACGGCCTAGTTAATTTGTAAAAGTCATTAGGAGTTGATTATGTTGTTCTTGATTTCCTTCAGGATAATCATTGATAAAACAATGCAGATAAAAGTTGCTTCTGGTTAAAGTATTAATAAAGATCCATCTTGTTAGGACGTGTTAGATTAAGAGAAATCAAAGAGCAAACAATTGGTGACAGATCATACCAGGAGGTGTGGATCTCTTAGATTAGTTACCTCTTAATTGCAAAATGATGCTGTCACTAGGAAACTCCACGAGGGACCCCCATTGTCCTGTGTTTCTAATGTTTATATTCAAATAAAAGGGCTCCCTTGAGAGAAAAGAATAGAAGAGCTGTCACAAGTGCAGCCCAGAATTTGTGAGTGGAGGGAGAGAAGCGTGTAGGCAACTCTGCGTTGGCGTGGAGGGAGGTGGCATCTGTGGATTTGAGGAACATGGGTATATTATGATGGGCTGGTGGGAATCATCATTTCTTCAGGTGGTCTCCAGATACTCTAGAAACTTGAAGTATCAAGACCCCAGAATCTGTTTTTTCAGGAGCAAGAGCTAATGAGAAGAGAAATGACTACAGCTGAGTCTGTCTCGCAGAAGACAATGACATATTAATGTTATTGCTACACCCCTCCAACCCCCGCCAGAATATTATTTGACTGCATGGGATTTGACCACCATTCTTAGTTTTATTTTTCACTTATTTCACTCGGGGGGGGGGGGTTCCTTTTGTAGCTTGTTTTTTTTTTTCCTGTAGAGAGAGGCATGGATTCTTGAAGTACCTAAAACTTGTGCTTCATTAAACACTGACCATGGCAACAGAAATGACTGTGGCTTTTACAATATTGAATATATATATGTATATATATACATATATATGGGTTCATGGTTCTAATGGTCATTTACTTACCAAAAATAAATCTTATATTTTTTGCTGACAATTCTCCGGTCCTTTCTAGAGAGATCCGACAGGTAAAGGAACACCTAGGATGTCAAATAAAAGAGAAGGCAAATCTGTACTTGGCTTTTCTTGATTAAGATACAGAGAAGAACTTTAAATATTTCAATTCACTCCCTCACTGGGCGGGGGAGTTTATAATATTGTTTTCCTCAAGATATCTAATAAAAAGTACTAGAATTTTCCTTGGAAGATGAAAGATTGGCTGATATGAGAAGACTATTGGGAGTCTTGAATGCTTACTAGATTTCAGATATTTTCAGAGATGTTTACTGTATTATTCTTGGGTGATAGTTGATACTGTGCAATTCACCTTCATATTTCTTATTAAATATAACCCTGTGTAGAAAAACTATGTCAGAAAGAAATGAACTTTACTTTTGGAATGCTGTGAGTTCTATAAGTTCTCCCTTTCAATGATTCTTTTCCTCCATAAGCTTCAATTTCTTTTTTTATTGTCCACACTTAACCTTTGGATTGTTTTAATGCTCTGTTCTCTTTATTGGGACCTTCTGCTTCCAAAAAGAAGTGATAATTATAGATAGCAAAGTTGTGGTGTACACAACCGAGTAATATTAGCTATAAGAAAAGGTAGAAACCTTGCCTTTTCTTATAACATGAATGAATCTGAAAGGGGATCATGTGAAAGGAATTAAATCAAAAGGGGAAAGCCAAATGTCAAATGATCTCACTGATGTGTGGTATAGACATATGCAAGGAATAGACATTGTTCAAAGAAAACTTTTCCCTAAGACCACAGACTGGAGTTAACAATAATGGCAGCTGATGGATATTAACCCAAAGTGTTCTGGGCTTCATCTGTGAATTTTCCCTTTTTCTTCTCCCAGAGAAGCTTATTGTATCCTGGCTAGCATCCATAATTTGGTTGGAGTTTATCTTTTGTATTTTTGTATCCTTTGTATTTTACCTCTCATTGTCTCAGTCCCCCAAATCAGTCTTGATTGCTTGTAAGCCAAATCTTTCTGGTAATTCTCAGCTTTATATTTGTGCTGCTTTGTGTATAAAGTGCTATATATTTGTACCTGCTTTTCTATTTCCCCTATAGACTTTTTATATTTTTCTGTAGAGCAATGCTGTTTGGTTAAACACAGAAAGACCATTAATGCAATGCTCCTAATACTTGGGAGTTGATTGACTCTGAAATATATCTACTCCTGGGCATAATTACTCGGTCATAATTATTTGACTCAGGCTTCAGTTGCTGTAGTTCCTAACACCCCAAAAGGGAGGTCCTGCCGTGGGACTGGGATGGACCTGGGGTGAGTGGTAAATCTATCCTGGCATCGAAATGGGACATTCTAGAAAGCATAAATGCATGATCTTGATGCAAGCTGTTATAACCCAAGAGACAGGATCCCCATGGAAAAGGACAAGATGAACTGTCCTGAAGACTTAGTCTGGAATTTTAGGTAAATGCCCTGCTTGCTCTCAAAGCCCAAAGAACTGTTAAAAGCCTTGTTTGCTCTCAAAGCCCAGAGAATTAAGTGTTGGGATCTTTGTCTCTTACTGTGTTTATCGAAACAACTGCAAGTATTGATAACTTACACAACTAGAGGGAAAGATAAAGGCAATGCAGATGTCCCTGTGAGACAGAATGTCTCCCTGACTTAATCTTCCCAAGAGAATTTCCTCCACCAAATGTTTGTCTATGTAAATGATGAATTACACCTATGTCTTTACCTCAATCCCCCTTCAGATGTTCTTTAAGTATGTTAGCAGCTCGCATTGAACGCGCCATTTTCACCATCAGGCTGTGGTCCCCCATCTCCATCTCTCTCTGTCTCTCTGATGGGGAGGCCTGGGGAGGTGGTGAGGCGGCTCTGAGCCACTGACCACACATGTTTCACAGCAGCAGTAGCAGCCCTGCATTTTACTTTGTGAACTCTCGGTGGCGAGTGACTGAAAGGGTCTAAGGCAGTGGTGGCGGGATATGGGCAAGGTGAGGCAATGTTGTATTTCGCTATACAATTCATGAACCAATGTTATTCAGCGAAAAATAAATCAATAAGAGCTCATTAAGAGAATGTTGCTTTTTTTTTTCTTATTGGGACACACCCAACAATGCAGAGGAGTTACTCCTGGCTCTGCACTCAGGAATTACTTCTGGCAGTGCTTGGGGGATCATATGGGATGCTGGAGATTGAACCTGGGTCGGCTGTGTGCAAGGCAAACACCCTACCTGCTATACTATCACTCCAGCCCTTAGAATATTGCTTTTTTAGCTAGTTGTTAGGTTGTATCTAAAAACTCCTAGAAAAAAAATTGATTTCCCCTAAAGGAGAAAAAATAAAGAAACTGAGGCATTGCTGAAGTTGACTTTGCTCAACTTTCTATAATCTCAGAGAGTCAGGCAGAAGTACCTTGGTTCGGATGACATTTTTATCACTCTCAATGTCAGGCATGGTGTCAAAGTCACTCTCCTCCACGGAGCTGTCTGTGTCAGACTGACCCGCTTGCCCGCCATCTGAGGAAGACATCTGTTGGCCCTGACTGGAGCTTGATTCATCTGAAACAGAAAGCTCATCTCCTTCAAAGTCGAGAGGAACTCCTGGAGCCCCATCCTTTGTACAAAAGCACAGTGCTGGCTAACGGGTTCTTTAAAACATTGTGGAGATAAAAGTAAACCCCTTCCCCAAAAGACATGTCCTTTCTTTCAGTTCATCCTTAATAAACTTTTTTCTTTTTTCTTCTTCTATTTTATATTTCAATGATATATTTTCCAGGCTGAATCCAGATTTCAAATATAAAGACATCTGCTCTGTTCACTATTTGAATGCAAAAATCATGTTTATATTTTGTTTTATATTTTTAAAATATGAAACATAAACATATACATGCACACTGTTATGCAAAATAGCTACCACATATCTCTAAGCATACATATAACTAGCAGCTCTACATTTCCTGTGGATTAAGTATTTGTACACAGAAATTCCCCACATGCTGTATCTGTGATTACATAATGAAAACAACATTCTCAGGAAGAAGTTTCCTTGTGTTCCTGTGAATGTTTCAGAGAGCAGATGGGAACTTGTGCAGCTTGATGAGCTCATGAGCCAAGCCTACTTTTGCTGTATTTCTTCTGTTCAGATGGTTAAAACACACACACACACACACACACACACACACACACGCACGCACGCACGCACGCACACACACACCCTGCTCTTTCAGAGCTAGAAATAAGTAGCTTGTGCAGAGCACACATGCTTCTCCCAGTTACAGGATAATTACGGAATAATAAGCCAGGAATACAGGATTCCTGGGCCCCCCATATTGAGGGGCATCCTTTACAGACCCCCAAAGCATCATGGGAGGGCTTAGAAGCATCAATGCATTCCTACTCTAACAAGGCAGCCCTAGGAGTTCTGTGGTTCTCAGGCCACTCTACGAGCACTGGCAGTTGCTATGTCAATGACTGGATGGCAGGAAGCAGGCTCAGTTATGAAGTTTGCCAAATGAAACATTGTCAGGCTACTGCCATGTTCACCTGCAGCACAGCCTCAGTCTTCTGATCGCCCTTATTCCACTGAAACCTGAGAATGAAACACTAGTCAGTTAATAGCAGGTTCCCTAACATCAGGCTGACACATTTTCCATGCTCTAATGTCAGGCTGGATGTGAAGAAATCTCTATGGGAGTCTTGGGAGTTGATGGCAGCCATTGTAGAGAATTCTGTCCAAGCGTGGTTATCAGCTCCAAGCAACACAGTCAGAGTAGACTGGAGAAAATTACAGATGGAAGGGAACCTTCCACCTCATCCAACCAATTTGTCTTACAAATAAAATGCAGTATTGCATAACTACTGCTTGCCTGCTCTCATAGGCTGAAGGAATTATTTTTTCTCTGGAAAGTTAAAAAACGCGTCTAAGAGTGGATTCATTATATAAATACCTATTGCCCCATAATTGCTTCCTTCAGGGGTGCTGGCTGCAATTGGATGTGAGACTGCCATATTTCCAGAACCTGGTAAAAAAAAAAAAGAAAAAATACACTTTATGTTCAGTTACTAAAATAAAAGAAGAAAACTATAATTTAAGTGATGAAGTCCCAATATTTACAATTTTCTGTCCTTTTCACTGTAACACAGGACTCACCAAACTATGGTTCCTAAACCAGATTTAATCTGTAGTCTGGTTTTGATGGCTATTCAAATAAGAATGACTTTTAAATTTTTAAATAATTAAAAGGATTTGGTATATTACAATCTTTCATGTTTTCTGTAATCTTTTAAAAATTTTATGCAATTTTCTTGTATTTTGGGGACTCTACCTGCTGTGCTCAGGGATTACTCTTTGCATTGTGCTCAGAGATCACTCCTGGCCATGCTTAGAGAACTATATGAGGTGTCAGAGATGGAACTCAGTTGACCTCAGGCAAGACAAATGCCATACCTGCTCTACTATCTCTCTGGCCCCTATAAAATATTTTCAAAGTTTCTATTTTAATACTTCTGTTTTTAGTTTACAACACTGTAGAATTTCATGCCTATAGCTTAAAACCTCTGTCTACGATTCATTGCCCTGACCACCAACATTCTAGAGCCATCCTATCATCAATAAGTAGGATTCACCATCCTGCTCATCGTTTCCACTTGCCTCCCCTCTTTCTCTAGGGGACATGTCCCCAGACAAGCCTAGAAGTCCTGTAGGTAGTTTTGTTGTTGCTGCTGTTATCATTTTGTTTGCTTTACATATTCATATTCCATATGTAGGTGCAACTACCCAGGAATTTTTACTTCCTCACTCATTTAGCTTTGCATAATCATCTGATGTTCTCTCATCCCAAATCACACAATTAGGAAGTTCTCTTCAAACATAGCTGCACTCATTTAGATCTAAGTTTCTTTGTGACTGACTACAATGCAGATTGCAAGTGACTATGGGGCTCATATTTACTGGTTGGCACTTGAAAGGGAAATAGCAAATGCCTGTTGCACAGTAATATAGAACCATAAGAATAAAGGCACACGAGCCTTTTAATCACTGTGAGGATGGCCACCATTGAATAGAAACACCAGAAATCAGCTTCTATGATGAAAGCACTGTGATCTAGAAGCTTGTTAGTGGTTAACATTTACCCCCTCTATACGTGTATTAAATCCTGATAGGAAGGAAATCACTGCATTACTAGGAGAAATGAAGGCTGACAGCAATGACTAGGAACATGGATGGGTTATTTTTATAGGATATTTAGGAAGAAGAGGGATATATGTTTCCAGCTACTGATTGTTTCATTAAGAGAAAAATGACTGAGATAATGCCCCTCAAACTCGTCCAAGAGTTATCTTGTGTCTCTGAGATCTTGAGGGTGTCATCTGAAACCATTAATGTAGAAGAGTATTTCTCTACTGGCTCATTGGTTATTAGGCAAGAGACTGTTGTCTTGAATTTACCCATTTTCTTTAGCTGTGCTCACATACATTGAACAGCATGTATTTCAAATATATGTTTTTAAACTTCATTCCCAGGCTTAAAAAAAGAAACAGTTATTTCATTTGATTGACGAGTTTCAGAGAAGAGATTGGAATTTATAGCCATCAATAAGACTTGGTGTTGGTGTTAGCTTGGTGAGCAATGGGCACAGTGCTGGCTGTTGGAGAAGAATGAACGGTACATCAGCGCCCAATCCTTCTCCATCAGCCTTGAACCAGGGATGGTTCCCTACCTTTTCTGTTCCTCATAATTGATGTTGAATGGAAACTTCTTAAAGGGGGTAGAACTACTTGGTTGTCTTTTGCACAAAACTTAAGCATAGTAATCTCAAAGTAATAGTCAGGAAAAAAGAATCCGTGTGTTAACTCATTGCACTTCTGTGCATTGCAAGGAAATATATTTTCACTGAGGATATTTTATAGTTTCCTCACTATCTAGCTTAATTACTTAATTGAAAATGTATTTCTTAAGAAAGAAAGAAAATATATTTCTTTATGGTTTTCATGAATCTAAAACGTAGTACACATGTAAAACAGCTAACAGCTTCCATTTATTATTTGTCACAGTTTAATGCTCTTCTCCCAGAATTCAGATTTCATTTTTATTCAGAAGTAGTAAAAACATTCAGTGTTGAAAGCAAACTTTGTAGCTTTAGGAAAGTTTTTAACTCTTTTGGTGCCCATTTATTTACTCCATGAAGAGATAAAATTATGGCTAAGTCATAGAGATAATGAGACCTTTGAGATTCAGTTACCTTCTAAATTCTGGTAGCTTGGCCAAGAATCGATCAATGGAACAGCAAGGGCTAACATAGCCCTCCTGGCTGGCAAGAGTGTTTCCAAAGTCTTTAGAATAATGACTTCCTAGGGTTTAATAAAGAATTTCCCTGGTTCTTAGGTTTGGAGAACCTTTGATATAATTCTTACTATTTTGAAAAAGAAGATATTCCTGGCCTTTATTGAATTTGCCCATAAAAACGTGTCATGGTGGATTTGATCTCTGCTTTTCATTTAACTTCAAGGCAAAGAAAAACAGGCTACTTTGAAACTCATAAATTTGAGGAATGAAATATTTTCAGCACAATAATAATGCTATGAGTAGATGTCTATACTTTGACTTTTTTTTAAAACCTCAAATAGATTGAACCATAATTATGGCACAGAACTTTGCTATTGCTTCTGCTATGCTACTATTGACTATAACAGGTACTGCTATTATCAACATCACTACAAATATTAAAGCTTCTATTACTAATATTACTGCTGCAGTTACAGCTGCTGCTGCTGCTGCTACTACTACTACTACTACCACCACTGAGTAAAGTTAAAAAACTTATCATGTGTCAGATACTCCTCTAAGTTCTTTACGTGATTATCACAATTTTTTTTTTCTTTTTGGGTCACACCCAGCAATGCACAGGAGTTATTACTGGCTCTGCACTCAGGAATTACTCCTGGCAGTGCTCGGGGGACCATATTGGATGCTGGGAATCGAACCCAGGTCAGCCACATGAAAGGCAAGTGCCCTCTCCGCTGTACTATCACACTGGAGATACTGAGAGGTCAAGTCATTTGAATAATTAAGTAAGTAAAAAAGTAGTTCATTGCACTGATTCAGTTAAAATTTATGTTCTTAATTGAGAATATACAGTTTACTTCAAAATATAAATAACTGGCAGCGAGATGGCCACTGTCATGAAGGGCTCAAAAATATCTTTCGAATAAGACCAGGAAGGTGATGTTCAATTGCATCTCTAGTAAAATAAACTCATGATTAAACAATATATCTAAGCACACCTTTAGATTTTTTTGATTGTTTTTGCTTTGGTATCACCCCTAGCTGTGCTGAATGTTTACTCCAGGCGATCATATGGGACCTGGGGATCAAATTTGCATCAATTGTGTTTAAAAACCCAAGCACTCTACCCATTATACTATCTAGCTCCTTAGTGCACTTTTTTCTTTTCGATTATCTGCTACTGCTTGCTAATGATTCTGCACTGGGGTGGAATTATGCTAGGTATTTTGGCTAGTTCATTGTGGAGAGTCTCACCAAACAATTGTATTGGTCCTATATTCCAAAAATGTAGTGTGTGTGTGTGTGTGTGTGTATGTGTGTGTGTGTGTGTGTGTTTGCATTTGGGGTTGCTCCAAGGAATACACATGGCAGATACAAATGTTTGGGCGACCAAGCTATGCAGGGACTGAACCAAGCCTCTTGCATACAAAGCATGAGCCCAGCATATTGAGCTATCTCTCTGGTCCGAAAAGATACAGTTTCTAAAAGAATTCCCTCAGACTCATTCTTTTTTATCTTTTTTAAGCATAAGCTTCCTTATTTTAACTATTACCTTATGTTGCTTGTAAGATGTAGTTTAATTAATGTGGAAATAGTAATTATAGAATGATCTTAAATCTAAAGCCTAGAATTTCTGACCAGTCTGGACAAAGCTTGGGATCTTGTGTGGAAGGAGGTTAAAATTGTTCGGGGAGTCAATGTTTCTTTTGCATATAATCAAAAGAAAAGCTGTGCAAAAAAAAAAAATCAAAGAAACTGAACAAACAAAACAATCACTGTTTTGTTAAGCATGATTTCATTAGAAGGGAAAAACCAGCTGTGTAGATCTGTGCAGAATTGGCTGTATCATTAATTTCTATACTTTGCTCTGGCTCCTGGTTTTGATGAAGTTTCTAGTCCTATTTACTTGGAGACAATAGCAGTATTACTGGTTCCATAATTAACAAAATGATGAAGAGTACCACACGAGAGCCAGCACATATAACGTTTTCACTCTGAACTTTCAGGATGTGCCATTTCAGTACGAGATTGGCCCATAAGGGATAATAACGTTCTGTTAATTTTTTCTTATGTTTAAACTTTCTCAGAATGCAAAAACCTCAGCATTTTCATCCAAATTTCAAGTAAGATGGATGGTTTCAAAAGGTGAGACATTTGTTTATATTTAATAACATGGAATTTTGAAAGATGAATAAAACACAACCTATTAGTTTATAAGACAGAGATGTTCTGGCAGGAACAAGCCAACATGTGATGATGTGAATGATCCCATTTTGATGAAGAAATGCATTCTGATATATTTTTCTCTTAGCACTAGCTCTGTTATCTGTCTACTAACATAGACTAAAGCTAAGTTTGCATGCTCGCTTAAAAATTTTGTTGTTGTTGTTAAATGCTCTATGTGAAGAAAAAATCTGATTTTATTTTTGAGACATTTGAGTCTTTTTTTTTCTTTTTTGGTCACAACCAGCAATGCACAGGGGTTACTCCTGGCTCTGCACTCAGGAATTACTCCTGGAGGTGCTTGGGGGACCACATTGGATGTTGGGAATCGAACCCGGGTCAGCCGCGTGCAAGGCAACCCCCCTACCCGCTGTGCTATCACTCTAGCCCTGCGTTTGAGTCTTTCAGGACTTCATATTCACAGTTGCCCTGCCCTTCATGCAGAAGGTTGAAAGTTGAAGCAAGAATCAGACACGATTTGAACAAGCTGCCAAACATTTCTCCCTTTCAGGGTTAGAGTTTTGTGGTCACACCAGGCCAGGTGGTACTGGAAGTAGAACCCTGCAAATCATGTGGCCCAGCCTTTGAACCATTTTTCTCCAACACCCAAAGTTTTCATCTTTATGTCAATTGGTTACCTATCCCAACTAGTTTCATTTTAAAGTTGAGGCAAAAATGAAGAAAATAGTAACTTTTTGGAAAGGGATTTAAAAGTGAGATTATCCTCTTAGAAAGGAAAATCTGGACAAGTGCCAGAGAGACAGTACCAGGGTTAAGGCTCTTGCATGTGTTTCCCTGGTACTACACAGAGCACAGAGCTGGGAGTAGTCGCTGAATGCCTCTGGGTGTGGTCCCAAGAAAAACCCAACACAAGAAAAGTGAAGGAAATTTGGAAAACTTTAGACTTCTCCAAACCCAACATACTTCTGTCTCATTCTCATTGGTTTCTCTTCTTCGCTGATTGAGTAGAGGCTCTCTCCATGGGAGGATTTGATAGTTCATTTTTGTCTAATGGAAATGTATGAAGACATCAGGTTTGTTAAACTCTTTAAAAGAGCAAAACCTGGGGAATCTATGAGTGATTTAAGTTGAATTAGGTTTTCAAAATATGTGGACATTTACATTTTTAAAAATCTTTGATAAAGCTGTCAGTTTTTTCAAACTTAGAGGATCAGAAAAGACATATCACAATGTCTGGAAAACCAATTACTCTATATTCCACCAAGTTTTATATTTCCCATATCTTTCTAAAAGAACATTAGTGAATCCATCACATTTTTAGCTATCTGTGTTTGTGTGTATTTACTGTTATGTGATGTAAGCTGTTTTTCTTAATTATGGACATTGATACATCGATCAATCTGTTCCTCAATCTCCTTAGTCCTCAGACTCCTTCTTTTTTCTATAGAGCTTTCAATTACTTAAAATTGATTTTAAGCCCTCAGAGGAGGGTTTTTTTTTTGGAAATTACAAAAGGCAAAGGGATAAAGAAATAAAATTGGATCTTGCAAAAATAGGCAACACCATTCTAATTTGAATCCAGGAATTTTTCTTACCATCATTGGAACCAAAGCTTCCATCAATGGGTTTTCTTTGAAACCTGCAAACAAGCACAGACACAAGCTCCTAAGTCAGAAAAACCTCAGCATTTTAGGTTTGTTCCCTAAGGACTTTTTTTTTCACATTTGTCTGCTAGGGCCTCTTAAAAGTAGGTGTTTAGCAGTGGAATATTATTCAGCCATAAGAAAAGATAAAGTCATAAATTTCGCTGCTACATGGTGGGACCTAGAGAGTATTTACTGAATGAAGTGTGTATGTGTGTATGTGTGTGTGTTTGAAAGAGAGAGTCAAAGAATGATCTCTCTCATACATATGATAAAAAGAAACATAATAATAAAATAACAAATACCCAAAGACAATGGAAACAAAGAACATGAGATATTCAGTAAAATCTTGTCACTCGAGGATGCTAGGGAATAGGACAGGGAGGGTGGAAATGTCTATGGTGGAGGAAAGCACTAAACTGGGAAGAGGAGATGGTGTTGAAAGGTGGAATGAAACCGTAAAGTACTGTAAACATAAGTAAAAAGACATATATATGTATACAGGTGAACCTCTCAAAAAAGCAGACTGGTGGGAGGGAGAGAAATGGGTGGGGGGACATTTGTGGAGGGAAGTGGACACTGGTAAAGGGATCAATGTTGTAAAATTGTTTGCCTGATGGGTGGGAGGGATAGTACAGAAGATAGGATGCTTGACTGGGTTTGATTCTCGGCATCCCATCTGATCCCTTGAGCACCATCAGAAGTAATCTCTAAGTGCAGAACTAGGAGTAACCCCTGAGCATCTGGGTGTGCCCCCCCCAAAACAACAGAAAAATATATGCCTGAAACCTAATTATGAATTACTGTGTAATTTGACAATAACTAAACAAATTAATTTTAATAAATAAAATTCAATGCAAAAAAGGTGTTTGGATATGAAAACATTGGAGCCTGATATATTGCTAGTGCATTATTTGGAAGTTTCTTGAAAAGTTAAGTATAGAGTTATCATAGGACTGGCAAGCATTGTCTAGCAAATATATACATACCTGAACTCATGCATCTATTTTCAGATATATCCAAAAATTCACCCCTTCATGTGTAAAATTCAGTAAATTTGGTATGTTCACAAAACTGTCTGACCTACAATATTATGTTTCTATAACATTTTATTTTTAAAAAAACTATTTTATTTATTTATTTTTGCTTTTGGGGTCACACCCAGCAATGCTCAGGGTCTACTCCTGACACTGCTCTCAGGAATTACTCCTGGTGGTACTCTGGGGGCCATATGGGATGCCAGGAATTGAACCCAGGTCTGCTGCATGCACAGCAACTGCCCTGCTCTCTGTACTATTACTCCAGCCCCCTATAACTTTTTCAAAGAAATCTCAGATCCATTCCCCTCTTCTCTTAGGCCTTGGTACTACTGATCTACTTTCAATCTCTATAAATGTTTCTATTCTGAACATTTTGTATAAACAGAACTAGGCTACATGTAGTCATTTTGATGGGATTATCCTAGCGCAGTATTTTCAGGTTCTTTCAGGTGGTCGCATGAAACAATATTTTGATGTTTTATTGTTATTATTAGTATTATACCATAGCTTAGGGTCTGCAGGAAAACGAGGATATTAACAAACTACCCCTTGGGCTGGAGCAATAGCACAGTGGATAGGGCATTTGCTTTGCATGCGGCCAACCTGGGTTCGATTCCTCCATCCCTCTTGGAGAGCCCAGCAAGCTACCGAGACCGTCCCGCCTGCATTGCAGAGCCTGGCAAGCTCCCCGTGGCGTATTCGATATGCCCAAAACAGTAACAACAAATATTACATTGGAGACGTTACCGGTGCCCACTTGAGCAAATCGATGAACAACGGGAGGACAGTGCTACAGTGCTATTATTATTGTAGTTTTTTGGGATACACCTGGTCATACTCAAGGCCTACTTGTGTCTTCATGTCAAGGATCACTCCTGGCTGTTATTGAAGGGCTACATGGATTGTGGAGATTGAACCTGGGTTGCGGTGTGCAAGGCAAACTCCCTGCCCACTGTACTATCTCTCTGGCCCCAATATTCAGTGTTTTATTGACTAAGTTGTATCTTATTGCATGAATATATGATGTTAACTTATTTGTGCATACTTGGAAGATGTTTTGTTGCTTTTGACCCATTTGTTATCATTAATAACACTGTAATAAACATGCACATACAAATTTCTTTGTGGATATTGTTCTCTTCTTCTGATTATATACTTAGGAATGAACTTTCCGGGTATATAGCTCTATATTTAATTTTTTTTCAAGCTGCTTTCCATAGCATTTTTATAGCAAGAATAAATTATATGCCCTCAAGCAATATAGAAGGCTCTACACACCCTTGTCAACTCTTGCAATTTTTCTGTTTATTTAAAAAATAGTATAGCCACCCTGGTGAATGTGAACTGACTCATTAAAAATCGCTGAATTGTATATACCTTAAGATGGTGATTTTTCATATGTTATAAAAGTTAATATTCAATAAAGTTATTGAATTATTTAAAAACCAGGCCAGACCATTTGCAAATGTGTATCCCAAACTAATATGTGTTTTATTCTTTTATACCCAAAGTGAGCATCCCTTTTGGATGTGAAGTTGATTGGGCAGGAGGAAAGGTAGGGATGTGGGCTGAGCGCACGTGCCGGTGCTTTGGAACAGGCTCTTACTTCATACTACTGATTCTGGTGTGTTTGATGGAAGACTTTCCATTCATAATTCTTTGGTTTACAGATACAGCAACCTCATTCCTGTGTCAAGGTCTCAGCCCTAGTTTTCTACCGTTTCTCCAGTTCTCATGACAGCTCCTCCCTACCATTCAGACTTTGAGAGGTATGAATAAGTGAAATTTAAAATACTTGCACCACACAATTATTTTTTATTATATTACTACATTTATTTTCCCCCTTCCACTAGTTGAAATTATGAGGTCAGCTGCATTGAAAGCAAGTGTTTTTTTTTTTTTACCACTCCACTGTCTCTCTGGCCCTAAAATTCTTTTTCTTTTATTCTTTTTCTTTTTTGTGTTTAATTTTAGGCCACACCTGTGGTATTCAGGGTTTACTTTTGCCTCTTTGCTCAAGGATAAATTCTGGCAGTGCTTGAAGGACTAGAAGTAGTATTAGAAATGAATGGGATGTAATCTCATGAAATACAAGCACTTTAATCCCTGTATTATCTCTTTGGCCCTGGAACTTTTTGTTTTCTTTATTTAATGCTGTCTTGCTCACATTCCTACTCTACACATGTGAAGAGTCGAGAGATATAGACTGTCTTGTTCAACACTGTATCTCTAACTTCTAGGATAGGGCCTGACATATAGGAGATAATAAATAAATATTTGTTGAATAAATTAAGCAATTAAGTAGATCAGTTATAATTTGACCAGACTGTTCTTGTTGCTAAGTGAGAATCTAATGAACTGAAATTCCTTTTGCAGAATTTTAGTGATATTTACTGCAAGCAACTATATGGATTCAAAAATGTTTGCATTTGGATTCTGATTTTGTACTAACAAGCGTTATCCAATATTTATTGGAGGTCTTTGAATTGCTAAAGTTATTTATTGGAGGTCTTAAATAATTTGCATGAAAAGATCCAGTGAATAAGAGCAACAAAAGTAAATTAGGGGGCTAGAGCGATAGTACAGCGGGTAGGGCATTTGCCTTGCACGCGGTCGGTCCATCTGGGTTCCATTCCCAGCATCCCATATGGTTCCCTGAGCACTGCCAGGAGTAATTCTTGAGTGCATAGCCAGGAATAACCCCTGTACATCACTGGGTGTGACCCAAAAGCCAAAAAAAAAAAAAGTAAATGAGAACTATGGCAAATGGCTATACCTCATCTTGTATTCAGCTTCTTCAATTAAAAAGGAGCTTCACTTTCTCAGTCGAGATTAGCCTTATGATTTGTTTTCGTGAGTAGAACGGGGGAAGAGACATAAGAGACATTTTGCCACTTATCAGCCTATATTTAGGGCATCTTGCACTCTTCTGCTATCTCACCTGGAGTTAAATATTCCAAGACTGGCTTGCAGGAGAATGAGTGATCAAATTTGGCTGAAGTTCATCTTGAAGAGCAATTTATGACCTGCCCATGAATTAAACTCTTCAGCCCATAACTGGCTAAGATCTCTTCCATTTACTCCAGAAAATAATCATTCAGTTGAGTCATAGATTTGTAGAAAAACACAAATACTTATTGATGTATATCTATGGAGTTTTGTGGTTTAATTTTTATGTAGCACAAGTATGATCATGACTAACCCAAGAATGGAAGGGAAAACTTGGGACATTTGCAAATCAGTGTCCTACAGGATGGTTTAAAGGCACAAAATAAGAACAAGTATGTGGTTCTGGGCCTAGGCTGAGATAAACTGTGTGGCTTTTTAAATGTATTTTAAATGAACTAAAGCTATGGAATGGGAAGGGAATAATGTTCAGGGTTAGGTCAATACAACATAAGACACCTGATTCTTAGCTCCCTGAGGACAGGGGCTATATAGATGCCTTTGTCTAATATTCTAATTTGGTCTCACGGTGTATATAGCAAACCCCACAGGAATCGATAAAAAGATCCTAGATACATACCAAATTCCATTATGTTACAGGTCTTAGTTCCATTTGGTTTTATAGAAATTATGTTATTTTGGCTTACTTCAACAAAGGAAGGGTTTTATTAGGATTTCCCCTTAGTCTATTCCCCTATTTGGAATACCAAATAGTTCTTATATTCCCATATTTCTATTTCAGCTTGTCTATATTTGGAAAGAATCTATGCACAAACATTCGACCATGGTAAAACAATTTGGCAGCCCAAGATTTCAGCAGAGCCTTATGTTACAACTTTCAAAAATTGTGTCCTATTTAATAGGCTGAATTACATTCTCCTTCCAACATGCTGTTCCTTTCTCAGAGTGTCTTATCCAGACAGTATCCAGTTTCTTCTTGTGATGCTAACATTTTGATCAACCAGGCAATTGTCTGGTATTGACATGATGAGCATCTCTCATATAAATAACATGCAAACAACCGTAGAAGTATGTTGCTTATGAATGCTAGCTAACTAAGAGAAGAAGCCTTATTTTCTGCAATCGGAAGCATTAAAAAAATACAAACAACCTCTTTGTCGGTGACAGACAGCAGACAGGAGAGATAAACACTATTTCCCCTAGCATTTGGAGCTCTTCCAAGTTGAAATCGAGAGCTTTCTGAACCTTTTTCTGTACCATGCTTTAGGTCTGGTCTCTTTGTCTTCCCTCTCATGCTCTGACTCCAGATCCATCTCCTTGCACTTACTTACGAGTGATGGCTCTGAAAATCAAATTGTCTGCACTGAAATCACCACGCTTTCATTTACTGGCTGGAAATTCTTGATCACGCATAGTCTGTCTCATATTCTTAATCGTCAAAGGGCTAGAAAACTGGTATCCACTGCGACTGGGCATGAGAGGAGATAATCTGCTTAGAAGCCTCAGCACTGGTACAGATCAGGTGCTTGGTAAATGTTACTTCATAGATTAACATGTTGATGCAAGCACTGTAATTAGTTTATTTTGCCATCCAGTGTTTTCATTAATAGTGTTCTGTCTTGTTGGTCGGTACTGAACTAAAGTGGAACAGGAAGTTTTGACAACAATTAGTATTTATCTTGGTACAATCTGTCCTATGTGATATCCAAGTGTGAGCCATCTACGGTATGTGCCAGCATAATGTGTTAACTGAACTGATAATCAGCTAATGTATATACCCTCATTACTACAGGAATTTTCAGCTGTAGACTTTACTCTGCTTTACTACAGAAATACATAACTATAGACTGGGCTTTTTTTTATTTCACTTTTTTGGGATCAGGGATCACTCCTGGCAAGCCTTGTGGGACTATATGGAATGCTGGGGGTTGACCTAAGTAAGCTGCATACAAGGCAAGCACCTGTCAGGCTGTATCTCCAGTTCCCTATTTAACTTTTTATTTGACAATAACTTTCAATTTATAGAGAAGTTGTAAGGACACAAGATGATGGAATGCCCATATAACCATTATCCAGGTTAACATCATATTTGCCTTATTCTGTTTCTATATGAACCTATAACTCTATCAATATATATACACATATTTTTTGAACTGTTTTATTTGGAGGGGCATCCCAAACAGTGCTTAGTTAGGGTGGGGGGTCACACCCAGAGATAATTCACTCAGTTGTACTCTGATTTGGGGGGGAAAGGGGATCTCCAGGACTGCCCTCTGTGGCAGGGGGATCATGTTCTGATTATCCAATCCAGGGAAAGTGCATGAGTACAGGGCACCCTGGGAACTCTCTCCACCCTCATCCCTTTCTGGACCTTTTGCAAGGAAATTGCACGTGCTATGAATTTATATGCTTTTAAATATTTCCACAGGACAGACATTATTTTATTTAATCATAGCATTACAATTTTGTATTACAGATGCAAAAATGACCTTGCTTCTGTTTTTTAAAAAATTTTGGGCTCACAAGCAATAATGCTGGGTAGGAGAGCGTGATGCTTCCTGGTTGCTCCCAGAGGTACTCATGGGATCACTTGGCACCACTGATCTTTGAGCTATCTCACAGACCTGAAATAATGTCCTTATAAGTATATTTTTGGGGACTGGGGAAATAGACATTTCAAAAGGCATGGTCCTTTTAGCAACATGTCAGGAGTAATCTCAGAGCATTGGTAGGTATGGTTCAAAATGAAACAAAAAATAGGATTTGTGGGGGTTTTATATTATTATTATTATTATTATTATTATTATTATTATTATTTGTTTTTTGGGTCACACCCAGTGATACTCAGCGGTTACTCCTGGCTCTGCACTCAGGAATTACTCCTGGTGGTGCTTGGGGGGCTATATGAGATGCTGGGAATCGAACCCGGGTTGGCTGCGTGCAAGGCAAACGCCCTACCCGCTGTGCTATCACGCCAGCTCCAAATTATTATAATTTTTTTAAGTAAAAAACTTAATCTGAGATCTGGGTTTTATTTGGAGGAAGGGGTGTTCAGTGGTTAGTCTTGATTCAGAAATCATATGTGCTCATAGGATCATTTGTGCTCAGGGGATTATATGTGGTACTGGGGAAGCAAGACAAACACCTTCTAACACCTTACTCTCTATACTATCTCTTCCACCCCTAAGATCAGACATTATACTTTGTTGTCATCTTTTTAATATATTTTTTTGTCTTTTATGACACATTTTAACAGAATATTAAGTGTTCTAAGTTTCTCTTGTTTTCCCTCATGATTATGTTCAGAATAGGTATTTCTGGTTGGAATTCTCCTTCCAACATGCTGTTTCTTTCTCAGAGTGTCTTATGCAGACAGTATCCATTTTCTTCTTGTGATGCAAACATTTTGATCAACCAGGCAATTGTCTGACTTCTCCACTGATTAGTCATCATTTTTTTCTCTAAAACTACTAAGCAGTTTGTGGGGATATACTTTAAGGCCATGCAAATATCTGAATTCTCACTGACTTTTATTTTAAATTTTAGCATTCATTAATCATTCTTTTTTTTTTTGGCATGTTGAATACGCCACGGGTAGCTTGCCAGGCTCTGCCGTGCAAATGACTATATAAATGTATGTAATACACATATATTGCTCAAGAGCAACTGTCAGGGGAAAAAAAGTTGTTAGTTCAAAAGAATCTTTAACACCCCTGCACCAGAACCTGAAAAGAAACTGGAAACTGGACAGGGCACCAAGCACCTCAAATTCGATATGCCAAAAATAGTAACAATAACGAGCCTCATTCCTCTGACCCTGAAAGAGCCTCCAATATGGCAGCGTTGGGAAGGACGAGTAAGGAGAGGCTGCTAAAATCTCAGGGCTGGGACGAATGAGATGTTACTGGTGCCTGCTTGAGTAAATCGGTGAACAACAGGATGACAGTGATACAGTGATAATGATTCTTAGTACATATCGGTGGTTCCCCAATTTCAGCTCTCCCTCTATATTTGCAACTTATTTCTGGCATTCTGTCCTAGGCAAGAGTTCCCCTTTCTACTCTCATCATGTGCTAATGGCGTCCTTCCTTAGATGGATCTGTTTTGGTAATTTTGTTGAATGTATTGAGTGTTTGTCTGTAGGTACTGTCAATTTGTCTTTTTTCCCTTCTATCCCTCTTTCTCATAGTTTATAATTCATAATTTTCCTTCATTATTTTTGGTTTCTAATTGCCCTAGATATACATCATGGTGGTCCAAGGGTTTTTGAAGTCAATTTCTCAATTGAAAAGCTTCCTGAAAGTCACAGAAAAGAGGTCTCTGTTATGTTTGAGTTTTGTTTGAGACAAAGATCAACTGATAGCATTGAAATATTTGTATCATTGTGGTAGCAAAGATGTTTTTCTAATGAGGAGGTTAATGTTGCCTAATTGTCTCAAAACTATACACACTTCACTTTCTTTACATGTTCGAGATGGGGGAATAACCCTAGTTTATTGTAAATCAGCTATTCTTTTATTCTAATTTACTTTTTTCTTTTAATTTTAGTTTTTTAATTGAATCACAGTGAGATACACAGTTACAAAGTTGTTTATGACTGGGTTTCAGTTATAACATGCTCCAACACCCAACCCTTTATCAGTGGTGTACATTTCTCACCTTCCCAAGTTTCACTCACCTCCCCAGATACCTCTATGGCAGGCACCTCTGTCTCTGTCTCTGTCTCTGTCTCTGTCTCTGTTTCTCGCTCCCTCTATGATATTCTTAAGCAAAAACAAATGCTGAAATACTGAGGGTTGAGATCTTTTGAGAAAGCAAGGAAAGGCTGGGGTTCTTTACATTAGAGGCTCCAGCACTTGGGAATGAAATTTTCTTGGTCAAATAACAGCAAGATTATGTCCTTTTATTTTTCTTCTCCCAGGAAGAGAACACAATAGTAAGAAGGTACATACTCTTAATTAGAACACAACAGTAGGAAAGTACCTGGTAATATGTATCAAAACAATTATTCCTACTATTTATTAACATTATTTTGAGCATTCAATTTTACTTTTGATGGATTTTTTAAAGCTATTTCTAAATCTTTGGGTAAAGGAAAGTAATAATTTCCTACAATCTATAAGACAGTATTTTCTGGTCCAAAAATATACAAGCTGACCTCTGCTATGGACTCACTAACTATGAAAAAAGCTAACCTTCAACCAACACTGACCTGAGTAGTACACTGATATAATCAAGGAGTTATACTAAATTATCTGGGGCAAATTTCCATTTTATATTACAAATGTGGAAACTGAAGCATAGAGAAGTTAAGTAACTTTCCTAAGGCCATGTGGTTAGGACTTGATGTAGATAATAGACAGTATCAAATGATGACAAAATTTCTCCTTTGATTATAAACCTGAGGTTAGCAAACATTAGATGGAGAAGGGGAAATGAAGAAGTGGGCTAGAAGGGACATGAGGATAGTAGTGGCAGGTCTTGGGCACTTTGGTGATGGTGAAGGTACAATAACTCTGTACATCAAAATCATGAACATTAATACTATTGTAACTGAAATGTAATAAAAATTTAAAAATCTGGGATAGACTTGAATCCCATTGAATATGGCTTTTTTTAAGTTTTTTTTTTTAAAAGCCAATTTATTTTATTTATTTTTTTCTTTTTTGGGTCACACCCAGCAATGCTCAGGGGTTACTCCTGTCTTTTTGCACTCAGGAATTACTCCTGGCGGTGCCTGGGGGACCATATGGGATGCCGGGGATCGAACCTGGGTCGGCCGTGTGCAAGGCAAACACCCTACCCGCTGTGCTATCACTTTAGCCCGAATATGGCTTTTTAAGTCTATGTTCTAATCAATGTGCAGAAATAGGTAAGGGGATTAGTATGTCCTGAAATTCTTTACCTACCTCATATAATGGACAAACGCAATAAACAGGCATCCCAAGTAGAAGGAGAAGAAGATGAGGCAACTGAGAAGAATTGATTTTACATAAACGGATGCTGAGGGAAGAGAAATTTTGGTTAGATGATCTCAGAAGAAAATAGGACCATATTTGAGACTGGATAGATTTGGGAACCCACTGTCTTTATACCCATTCCTAAGTTCTCCCTTACTTCTAGTCAGACTTCTAAAAACCACTGCAGATCACCCAGACATAATTCACAAATGGCTCCTTTCCACACGCACGATTTCTAGGGACGCGGGAGGGGCCAAGGGGAGAGGGGAGAAGGGACTTCCTGAATTTTAGTTCCCTTTGTTCCTTAGAGGGATTTAACAAAATATTCTGTTTTCTTCTTTCATTTCTACAGTAAACATTCATTTTCTTATGCTGTTTTTATCTGGAAGAATGATATTAGCATGTAACTAGATAGATTTTCTGACATAGAAATTTCTTTTCTGAATCCAGCATTCTGACCTTTAATAGAAGGAACAATGGTTACTTTAAGGTTCTTTGCTCGTTGTAGATTCCAGGTCTGGTTATTCTTTTCTGGAATAGAAAACAGAAAGAAAAAAAGAAAGAAAAAAAGAAAGAAAGAAAGAAAGAGAGAGAGAAAGAAAGAAAGAGAAAGGAAAAGAAAGAAAAAAGGAAAACAGAATAAGTACAAAGGGTCGGATTCTTTGTGGTCTCTGAGTCAGCAGAACAATTGTTTAAAAACTGTACAGCAGTAACTCTTGATAATATTTGTTTTTTCTTTAAACAAGATCTAAGGGAAAAGTCAACCACCAAACATTCTATCTCTCTGGTTCATTTGGTTATAACATTCAATGTGTCTTCTGTTTATGTGCATTTTATTAGACATAATTAAAACCAGTAAGTCTTAAAATTATTATTTTGAATAATCATTAACTCTAATAATTATTCCCACTTGAGGAAGGCAGACACTTCCATATCTAAGTGGCTCAATTTGCTATAGACATCTAAAGAAAACGGAAATAGAAAGCTACCTTATCTTTTGTTTTATATTTTTTTCCAGCTGGTGAGAATTTGTCATAGTCTTTAAGGGTTCATAGTTCAAAAAGAAATGAACATTGGCAAAACTATAGAACTAGTTAAGAGACTAATGAATATACAAGCAGGAATTTCACTTAAATTTCGAGGGTACCATTCACTCAATAGTGAATATGCTCTGTGGAGATCCCAAATGGCTCATCAGAGACACAAGGAAGGTTTTTCTAGGTAGTTAAATCAATATTCCATCAATAGTCTATTCCCTTTCAAAGGAAGTCAGTGGGTAATTATCCATAACTATTTGTACTATGCCTAGGACCACACACAATCCCCAGTTGGGGTAAGTTTTCCCAATTGCCTTCTCAGTATTTTATGAGACAGTTTAGCAACTGAAATCCAGTAACCATGAATTTTCTTTGTACATCCTTGTGGAAATGTTGAATTCTAATATCTAGGAATAACTCCATTACTTCTGGCTACCAAGTTGACCTTAAGAAATGGAACTTGATCTGTAGAAAATCATTACTATATGGTAGCAAATATTTTTTAGAGAGTCAACCTCATATAGCCTGAGAAAGCCTAAGACTTTGAAAAAGATTTATTGCACTAAATGACATTTTCTAGTCTCAATAACACCTACAAATCTATCATTTTCTTCCTCTTATATTTCTCTCAAGCATTTCTCAGACTGTCTTGCATTTCACTGCTGATGACCCTCAGCCAGTGGGAACTAAATATGACCATTTTTGGTGTTTGTTTAGTTTAGGGGCCACACTCAGCTGTGCTCAGGGTTTACTCTTGGGCCTGAAACCAGAGACCGTTCTTGGCAGTGCTGGAGGCACCATATTGGGTACTGGGAATCGAACCCAGGTTGGCCACATTCAAGGCAAGCACCTTATCTGTTGTACTATCTCTCTGCTTCCCTCTGCTTCCTTTTTTTGTTTGTTTTCAAGAAAACAATGTTTTATTGCTTCTTTTGTTTTGCTTTCATGGGCCACACTTGGCATACTCAGGGATAAATCCTGGAGGGGTCTGGAAACCATATGTGGTGCTGGGGGTCAAATTCTGGTCAGTCATGTGCAAGGCAAGAGCCCTCCCCCTGTACTATCACTCTGGCCCCCTAAAAATATCTTTAAAAAATTCCTCCGTACACTTTATATGAACACTGTGGTTTGCAAAGTTGTTCATGATGATTTCTTACAGGCATTTAATATTCCAGCACCAATCCCACCAAATATAGATGGTCTTAAGGCACCTATGTGTTTGGTTTTGTTCCCTTCCATTAAGTTTTTCTAGATAGCTAAATATTTCTTACTCTTACCCTGGACGAAGAAAGATCCTCCACAGGCATAATCTTCTGGCTTTATCACAAACACCACAAAGAACTGCTCCCCTGGAAAATCCTTCTTCTGCATAAGACACAACAACCTTATGATAAGCCGGCAAAAAGATATCAGGAGAAAAAAGTTGTGTTGGGGGTTGGTGGAGAAAGACAGAGAAGAAAAGTAAGATTCACCCTTGCTTCCTAGTTTCTCAGAAAGGAATTTCAAACATCCATGATTTGATCTAAATTACCCAAATATGTCAAATAATTGTTGTCTCCAAGAAATTAAAGAGGGGCCAGTAATACAGTACAGAAGGTAGGGAAAATTAAATGAAGTGGCCGGAGTTTGCCTTGCACACCTCCAACCGGGGTTCAATCACCACATATGATCCTCTGAGCCTTGCAAGAAGTGCAGAGTCAGGAGTAAGTTCTGAGCATTTCTGGGTGTGGCCCCCAAAACAAACAAATAAACAAAAGATAGTTTTGATTTCAATCTACCTTGTACTCACTTAGAGTACAAGTACTTAGAACGATATTAATCCCTTAAAAATTTGTTAGCAACCAATATGTTAAAAGTACTTATATATTAAGGGATCCGCAGGGGGTGGGGGGAAGAAGGGGTGGGGTGTGGTACGGGGAGTTTGGGAATGCTCAGTGATTATTCCTCTGTCTGTGTTCAGGAGTGACCTCTGGTGGAGCTTGGGGGGACCATATGTGGTACCAGAGATCAAACTGGGGTCAACTGCATGCAAGGCAATCTCTCTGATCCTATTTTTTTAAAATTAATAAACTAATTTAGAGAAGTTTTAGGATCACTATATGAAATTATTTTTATTATAAGTTTAATGGCAAATAAGTTTTCTAAAAAGTATGTGGTCAGCAGGTAAACAAATAATTTGATTTCGTGAAGCAAACATGTTAAAAGATGTGAGTTAGAGTCCTAGCTTTGTCTTTTTCTAAGTGTGCATCTCTGTATTCCTTTTGTTTTTAGAGAAGGACATGTTTTAGGATCTGTTTTGGGGGGGCCACATCTGGCAGTGCAAAGAGGTTACTCCTGATTCTGTCTTTAGGCATCACATCTGGAAGGGCGTGAGGGACCAGACATAGATTGAACCCTGGTTGGGCACATGAAAGGCCAAGCCCTACCTGCCGTAGTAGCCCCTGCCTCTCGGTCTTCCTTCCCCATGAATGAGAAAGAAGAGCTATTTGGAGTATAAAATCCGAGGTCCTGGGAAACTAAAGACTAACTGAAGGAAGTTTCTGGGATTGACATCTAAATTGCAATTAATCTTCTCATGTTTTGCTTGTTATTTAATAAATGGCATTACCTTACTGTAAGAAACAGAGCAAGTTGCAGGTCTATCAGGTAAAGACCACTCCAAGGGCTGGCACTGAATCTCTTTGAAAATGTGGGGATATGATTTGTATTCATACTTTTGCTATTAAATTGCAACTGAAGGGGCTAGAGAGATGGTACGGCAGGCAGGGTGCTTGCCTTGCAATCTCAATACCCCAGTGAGCCACCCCCCCCCCCCCCCCCCGCCTACCACGAATGATCCCTGAGCAAGAGTCAGGAGTAAGTTCTGAACACAGCTGGGTGTCATTTCAAAACAAAAATTTGCCACTGAAACACTAACTTAAATGCAAATGATGTAACCTGCTGTATAGATGTGATCTTCGTCCCCTTAAGCCCATTCATGCTATCCAGAATGTCCCCTTTTGGTACTTTATTGGTATAAACTGTTAGAATATATTTATGTGGGGGGAGCACATCCTGCGATACTTAGGGGTTACTCCTGGATCTGAACTCTGGAACCAGTCCTGGTGGTGCTAAAGGGACCATATTGGAAGCTGAGGATTGAACCTGGGTTGGCCACATGCAGGGCAAGCACCTTACCCATGGTACTATCACTCTGTCTTCTCGAGTATGTTTAATTGCTTTAAAAGACCAGATAAACTTTACACTCAACTGGAATCCCCCAACAAGTAGGTTGGAATCTTCTGCCCTTACCTCTGGGTCACACACATGTGCTGCTCTATCGTGTGTTCCCAAGGCTCCCTAGGAGAGAGGGCACCTGGCAGAGAGGCATTATTCACCATCACCCAGGCTTTGATTTCAGGCACAACAATCTTTGCTTTAAAACCAGTCAGAAGGAAAGTGATCCAAGGCATATGGCAAAGGTGAATTTCAGATGCTGGTCCAGCAGGCAAACTGACTAGAATGTGCATTGTCCTTGACAAGAGCGACCACAGAAATTACATCTCACCTGTAGTGTGATGGCCGCTTTCTTGGTCATGGACTGGTAGACGCCATTGAATTCCACATTGTGGTCAAGATCATACACCGGGCACTGATATGAGCATTAGAATGAAAAGGGAAAGCATCACTAATGACAGATGATGTCCTGCTACGCACACCACACCTATCACCTGGATCACAGAGTTGGGTGCTCCTAAGCCAGGGAATATAGTGCTCCTGAAACTGGGGGCCTTATCCTCTACAGTCAAGGTCACTTTATGGTAAAAATCACTGTCACTGTCACTGTCCTCCCGTTGTTCATCGATTTGCTCGAGCGGGCCCAGTAACGTCTCCATTGGAGACTTTGTTGTTACGGTGTTTGGCATACCGAATACGTCACGGGTAGCTTGCCAGGCTCTGCCATGCGGGCGAGATCCTCTCGGTAGCTTGCCGGGCTCTCCGAGAGGGGCGGAGGAATCGAACTTGGGTCGGCCATGTTGGCTGCATGCAAGGCAAACGCCCTACCACTGTGCTATCGCTCCAGCCCCATAGTAAAGATATGTATAGAAAGTGGTTTAAAGTAATCAACACATTTTCCATTTAAAAATGAACACCTTATAAGACATAAATGCTGTAATAAAAGTTAAAAATCAGAATGATTTTCCATTGTTGATATATTTTTGTATTTTATATGTGGGGTCCAACACTTGGTCTTTCTTGTTCTTTTTCATGATCATCCCTCCATTCTTCCCTCCCCCTCTCCCTTTCTTCCTTGTCTATTTTGAGAAATCAGCTCTTCTCTCACTCCTCAAACCAATGTCTCCGAACATCAGCTGCTCGCTGTTGTACATAAGAAATCTTTTTCTGATTTAGCAGTTTTGTAGAAGATGCATAGGGTGAGGATCAGTGCATTGCTCACCCCTGTCTTTCCTCTATGCTGGTACAATGGAAGGCTCCATAAGGAAGGATGACTCTAGTCAATACCAGAAATCACTAAGACTCACCATAATATTCTGAACTGAGACCACAGAACATGGATAAGCCACTTCGGACATGACTTTAACAATAACTGAATCCACATCTTTAGGAAATTTGTACAGGAAATACTAAGAATAAGAAAAAGAAAACGCGATTGGTTGATAATGACAAATCTTTACAGTCACGAACTCAAGCTATTTTCACACGAATAGGATAGTTTAATCTGATACTAGGTTTAAAGTTCATATGGAAATTGTAGAGAACCTCCATGAATTCAGTCAACTACTCATTTCATAGACACTGAGCAATTGCTCTGTGCAGGGCTGTGGGTCAGATATTAGGAATACAGCAGCAGTGAACAGACCCAGCAGCCTTTCATATAATGCTGCCATTTCATTTCCTATGAAATTTCTTTCTCAAGGAAATTGCACTGCACTTCATTCCAATTTCTGCCTCCAATTCTGAATTATGAATATGTGACTGTAATATGAGACAACATTGCAGTGTGGACATTTTGAAATACTTATAAAGCAGATAAACCAGTTTTTCAAGAATCTTAACCACCTACCCATAGATAAGAATGAGTTCTGGGCCCACCCTTCCCCTAGACATTTTGCTAAAGTATCTATTTCTCGGCTGGAAAATAGTAAGATGACATTCACATTCACAGACTGAACCCCCCTATGGATTGCTGAAATATCCTTCACAATTTTGGGCAAGCAGAGTTATCATTAATAGTCTTTCTTAAGCATCATCAGAATTGGGAAACATAACAAAAAGAGGTTAAGCTACTTCCTACTGGGATTATAAATCTATTGGAAAATTCCATAAATTCTAAATTTTAAGCATGTTGCTAATTAGTAAAGGGGACTTATTATCCTCAATATCATAAATCTAGTAATTGATCAAGAAGCTGGGCATGAAATCTGTGATTCAGATTTTGAAGAAACCAATACAAACAAGCTCCACATCTGAAGATTCCAACACATTTATCACTCAAAAAAGAGACAACGCATATTAAAATTTGGTTTTGCATCTCAACAACATTCTCTTGACTAACCTTACTCTGATAAGTAGAGCAATAAAAAACAGAATATCTTCAATAATCTAAAGTCTTCTGATGGAGAAAGAATATGCTCAAAATGAAAGAGTACCATTAAAAATGCTGCTGTTTGGAAGTCTGTTCATGCCTTGCAACAGATGGTAACACTCCCAAGGGCCCACTTCATTTTGTTCTTTCACTTTGGAGCTCAATTCACAGACACTTAATATAGGACTATGCTAAAGATTACCACAAGATATTCTTCACTCTTAGGGAAGCCAGATGATGTAATTCCAGAGCATTGCTGCAGTTACTGTTTGCCTTAATAAGCAGCATATATATTTCTATAGATGTTGTAGGAGTTGGTTTCGTATAGAAATATTTTGAAGTCTTACCTATGTGCCAAAGTGTAATCAACATTTTCCATCTCTAAATTACTATTCCCTCAAATAAAGGCTTTTGACCCTAGCCTTGATAACTCTTGAACTGAAAGCAACAAATGATAAATATCAAAACCAATGACTGGCATTTAGGCTAAACATCAGCCTGATTCCTGGTTACCTACCCAGTTTCTGTGACCTGCTCTTGCCTACAGGAATAAAGGCAGAAAGTGATCGTTTCGACTGTCTGAGATTCTGCAATAGCTTGAATGAACTCATAGGAATAGAATTTTTCTTTTTCCACAGTTGAATGGAGTATAAACAGGAACCAAAAGAAAAGGAACTATCAAGAGTAGTTTTATCAGAATACTTATTTAGTTTTATTAGTGTGTTCTAAGTATATTTCATGTGGGATTTATATTCAAAATAATTGGGTTTTTATATTAACATACTTTTTGCTGTTTTTGAGCCACACCCAGCAGTGCTCAAAGTTTACTCCTGGCTCTGCACTCAGAGATCACTCCTGGCAGGGTTCGGGGACCAAATGGGGTGCCAGAGATTGAACCCGAGTCGGTCACATGCAAAGCGAATGCTCTACCTGCGGTACTATTTTTAATCCAATTTACATAGCTTTAAAAAATAAAAGTCGAGATGGCGGCCGCACGGGAGCCTTGTGGACAGCAGGTTTGAGCCGCGGGGGGGGGGGGGGGGGGGCAGCAGGGACCTCATGGGAAGGGGGGCGTAATGGGCCGTCCTTCACGCCCGACCGAGGTCGCCAGCTGCCCCCCACGAGCGGCTTTCCGACACGGCCACGACTCCAGAGCACAGAAACCAATCTCTTAACTATCTAACTTTTAATAGAAATTCTTCCAGGGTTAATAAGTAAAATAGCAGAAATCCAAAATCATTTTATTCTTAAACCAAGTTGTAGAAAGCAAATCATATCACAACGCTGTTTCAGCATGTCTGATTGGGGGGGATTCATAAACCCTAAACAATAATTGTGCATCTTCTATCGAAACAATGTATCTAGTCAAAGTAGATAGAGTATTAACTAGAACTCAACTGCCTCACAGGAATTGGGAGGGGTGGGAGGTGGGGTTCTATTGGGGTTCACGGTTAAAAATAAATATTGGTAAAGGGAAATGTGTTTGATATTTACATGACTGAGACCTAAACCCGAAAGCTCTGTAACTTTTCCCACAGTGATTCAATAAAGAAATAAATTATAAAAAAAAAATAAAAAATAAAAGTCATAATATAAGATCATCACTGCCTTTCAATCTGAAAACTGAAAATATATTATAACATTTACTGTATCATATTTATTACAGATTTCATCACAATTAGTTTTACGTTATATTCTTTCTGTAGTTGGGTGCAAGTTTTGCCCTCTTTTTATAGACATCCCTCATTGCCACTGGCAGATAATGTTTTAAAATTTTTGTGAATTAAGTGATAATAAATGGGCAATAGGTTGTGGGTCTGGGTCTTTTGTCACTGTATGGCAGTATATATGTACTAGGGAGGTTTTGTTGTTACTGTCAAGAAATGGAACTTCCCAAAGCCTTCTCTCTTTCTCTCTTTCTCTTCTGTGTGTGTGTGTGTGTGTGTGTGTGTGTGTGTGTTTGTGATCCTATGCAAGTTTGGAGTGCACATGTCTTTGAAACTCTATGTTCAATAACATCACTGAACTGGCAGGCTGAAAACTGCCATTGTGGAAATATTTATACTGTAGAAATAGACCCAAACTATAAATTAGAGTTCTCTTTCTGAGAATATGTTTACCAGCATATCACTGATTGTGGTGGATTTACAATAGTATCCATAAAATTTATCAATCACAGTTTTAGTATATTCAAGGGGGAAAAAGGATTATTTATATGTGTCCAAAGCCATATTAGTGCCTGTAAAGAAGAGCTACTAAAATGATCAGGACATTTAAAAAAATTTGTTTTAAACTTTCTATCCAAAATACTTCACTCTTTCAGGGCTGGGGCAATAGTACAGCGAATAGGTGTTTTCCTTGCACACAGGAGACCCAGGTTCTATTCCCAGCATCCCATATGGTCACCTGAGCACCGCCAGGAGTAGTTCATGAGTGCAGAGCCAGGAGTAACCCTGTGCATCGCTGGTGTGACACAAAAAGAAAAAAAAAAGACTTCACTCTTCAAAATCAATAAAAGAAAAAAAATGAAGGTAACTAGAAGCAGGCTTAACTAATAAATTTTAAAATCTATTTCATTTATGATAGTGGTTTAATGGAGAACACAACAAAAACATCTGGGTCTTTAAAATATTTTCATAGACTTTTTTGTCCTTTACAATAGGAAAAAATAAATTTATTTTGCATATAACACCATAAAAAGAAAAAGCTTATTATTTTTATTGCAGTTTAAGGTCAGTTAACTATGCATTTTTTTAAGTGTGGACCTTCTCCTTCCTTTGTCCCTGCATCTCTGTCTAGATTCTAAGCTTCCTGAAGACAGATCTCTATGGCTTCTTCATTCTTCAAGTCCCAGACCTTGGAATAGTCTCATACAGCAGTTGGTAGATTGATTTGCTGAATGAAAGTTTATCCAAAGAACATCTACAAATATCATGCTTCCCATTTCAAACCAATTCAGGTGGTAAGTAAAGGTTTTGTCCAAACAACATGAGTAACATTTAAAAGAAACCTCACATATTTTAAGTTGTAAAAGGTTGAATGATATTATATGCTCACCTACATTTTAGGTTTCCAAATATTACATGCTTATGCGCTAGGTTACACAAGATGGTTTCTTTTGTGTAATATCAGTAAGTAGAATCATGATAACCTTGAAATACTTAACTTACCTGAGGTTGAGAGGGGCTGGCAGTGAAGTGAAAGGGAACGTTTGTCCTGAGAAATAATAGTGGTAGAAGGGGGAAAGTAGAAAAGTGAGAAAGAAGCATAAGTTAGCAAATAAAAAACATTTATTGAGAAGAAAACAACCCAGACTAAATGAAAAAGGAAACTTCAATGTGAAGGAAATTCTGGTCCTAACAAACTGCATGGGAACCTGATGGCTTCAATTCCTGCATGATCATTTTTGTTTTGAGATACTCACAAAGCAAACCTAACTAACAAGTATATTCAAAACACATTGTCACTGTCTTCCTGTTGTTCATCAGTTTGCTTGAGCGGGCCCAGTAACATCTCCATTTTGAGACTTGTTGTTACCGTGTTTGGCATATTGAATATATCACGGATAGTTTGCCAGGCTTTGCAGTGCAGGCGAGATAGCTTGCCGAGCTCTCAAAGAGGGGCAGAGGAATCGAACTGGATCAGCCGGGCTGGCTGTGCGCAAGGCAAATGCCCTACCACTGAGCTATCGCTCCAGTCCCTTCAAATTAGCTTATTTTTTTCCCTATGAAGACATGTTTGTATTTGAATTATCTTAGTATTTTACAATCATTTTCTTTTCTCTATCTACTTCTGACATTCAAGTCTTCTGCTTGGAGGGAAAAGTTTGAAGTTCTTTTGGATAATGTAGATATGAACTTCAAAATAATTTTGATGTATCCTTGTCAAGGGCTGGAGCGATAGCACAGCGGTAGGGCATTTGCCTTGTGCGCAACCAGCCCAGCTGAGCCGGGTTCAATTGCTCCGTCCCTCTTGGAGAGCCCGGAAAGTTACTGAGAATATTTTGCCCGCGCTGCAAAGCCTGGCAATCTACCCATGATGTATTCAATATGCCAAACACAGTAACAACAAGTCTCAAAATGGAGATGTTACTGGGCCCACTCGAGCAAATCGATGAACAATGGGAGGACAGTGACAGGGACAGTATCCATGTCAAAACGTTCTTTTCTAAAAATCAGACGAGAGCCCCTTGGATAGGAATGAACTCCAACTGTCCCCATGCACCACAGTCTGAAATTTCCCATCAATATGTTGATCTCTTTGGATGAGACATGGCCTTCTAAAACCTTCAAAACCATCAAAAGAATATAGTGAAATTATTTCCTCTCAAATAATTTATTGTGAATGATTGTTTTGATATTTTTACTCTTTATTGAAAGCAAGCAGTGACTGAACCCTGAAAAATGGAGAGAATGAGGAAGATTAAGGAATCATATGCACATTTCTAGCCTTCGGTGTTGTCTGGAGACAACATTGGTAGAACAATTCAAGATGGTGACATTGAAAGACAAATGTGATCTTCTCTATGGCTTCTAAGGGGATTTGGCATTCTTTGACATGTCCCCTTCAGCTGGTAAGATCATGCATATAAGTTCACATAAGTGTATAAGCATGGTAATACCTGAGTCTGGGTGTGTCATTCCCCAACCTGCCCATTTGGCCTACATTTCTGGGGACCTGAGCTGAAATTTTTTCAGAGATTTTTCCCCAGATTAGAGAGATCCCAGGGAACCTCTAAAGATCTTTTTTTTCCACAGCTGTTTCTTTCATGTTTATAAAAATGAAGCAGTTGGGGGCTAGAGTGATAGCACAGTGGGTAGGGTGTTTGCTTTGCACACGGCTGACCCAAGTTGAATTCCCAACATCCCATATGGTCCCCTGAGCACTGCTAGGAGTGATTCCTGTGCAGAGCCAGGAGTAATCCTTGTGAATCGCCAGGTGTGACCCAAAATGCAAATATATATATATATATATATATATATATATATATATATATATCCACACACACACGATAGTACAGCGGGTAGGGCGTTCGCCTTACAAGCGGCCAACATGGCCGACCCGAGTTCGATTCCTCCGCCCCTCTCGGAGAGCCCGGGAAGTTACCGAGAGTATTCGATATGCCAGACACAGTAACAACAAAGTCTCCAATGGAGACGTTACTGGGCCTGCTCGAGCAAATCGACGATCAACGGGAGGGCCTTTACCTTTTACCTTTATATACACACACATATATGAAGCAGTTAAACTTATGCTTCTGAAAGACATCTTTTAAAAAGAGCATGCCAAAACACTTAAGCAGCCAACTTATAGTCAGAGATGTGGTTGAGAAGTCATATGCTTTGAGCACCCTTCCTATAGGTTGTACCTTCCTAAAGGTCATAGCTTAGGGGGGATCTGCATAACTAGGCTCAATATTTACCAATGGAGGTGATTTTTAAACATTCGCTCCCAACAAATGTCGTTGGCAGTGCCAAGGATTGGATCTGCTGGAGCACAGCTGAAAATATGTGAGCTAAAGAAGCCAAAGTTAGTGTCAATCTCTTTGGGTGTTTGATTCGGAGATTCCGTGGTCAGTCCAGGCCTGCAGTGCTCAGTGTTGCTGAGGCAGCGCCCTCTCAGAGCTGGGGTGGGGGAGGAAGGGGAGGACAGAGTCTGTTGTTACTACGGCAACACAGCTTTCAGTGCTTTTGTTGCTAGGTCAAAGGAAGGAAGAGGACACTGATATTCTTGGCTAGCAGCAGACAGCATGAGATTTCCAGAAGCAACCAGTTTTCTTTGGCCATATATTTGTTTTTGTGTTCTTCTCTGTCACTGACATTCCAGTCCGACACTGGCCATAGCTATAACATTAGCCAGAGTTAATGTTCTATTTTCTTTTTCTTGTTCTTTATGTTTTCTTTGCTAGCACAACACATGCAAACTTTGAAGCCATTATTTTCTTAACGATGAGCCCATCTAAATTCTCTCTTCCCTGTGGAGTCAACAGTGTATGCAAAATAAACATATTGTCTGTAGCAGATGAGACATTTAACTTTCTTCTCCAGGGGCACTAATGGAAATGGTGTTGGTTTATTTTTTATCAAGGGTCATTAACCAGTGAAATAAAACTAATTGAGACTCATGCATACTTTTGGTTCTAAAGAAAGAAGTAATAAAGTTATAGCTATTTGTTTTAAAATTAAACACAGGAAATGTGTTTATTTAATAAGTAGAAAAAAACCCTGCAAACTGACTTTGTTCTCTTGTTTTGGTTCAGTTGACAGACAGGAGAGGAAAAGAACAGATGGGGTTAAAGGGAATGGGTGTGCAAGTAAGGGAGTTGTAAGAAAATGAGGAAGTAAGGAACCCACTGAAGAAAATAGACAGGAAATGAAAAAAATAGGAGTATAATAAAATAGAAGAAAGAAGAGATGAGATAAAAGGGTGAGTAGACAGAGGTTGTGTTAAATGCCAGAGAAGACCCTGAGATTTACATCTTGCTCATCTTTTGAGAGGAAGCCCCTAAGAACAGGGCACAGTGGATGTGTAAAACCCTCACTTTGTTGAAGGAAATTGTACTGTATTATTCACTTGGACTATGAACTTCAGAATACCACTCCCTGTTATCTGCTTACTGCCATCTGTCATGAACTCCATAGCTGATCGTAACCCTTCCACAAATTCCTCACTATCTACAGCATTGCTTTACACACATACGCTCATCCTATCATTCTTCCTTTTTCTGGGTCTTTGCTTCTACAAAATCAATTGGTTCTATACATTTAATCTGACTTTCCATCCTTTGGTTTAGAAACATACTCTCGTCTTGGCCGGTGATATATTACAGAAGGTAGGGTGCTCGCCTTGCATGCAGCTGACCTGGGTTCTATCTTTGTCATCCTCATATGGTCCCCAGAGCATTGTCAGGCATGATCCTTGAGCACTGCCAGTTTTGACATCAAAACCAAAGGAAAAAAGAGAAAAAATACTCTCTAGTCTCAACCATTTCAAAATAAAAACACCCCCAACAAAATATCTTCCTTTCCCCTATGTGGTTCTGTGTTCTTCTCCTTCACACACCAGCTTCTTCAAAGAGTATCTATTCTTGAGAGTTAGAAAGATATATAAGGGTTAAAGTGTTTACGCTACAAGAGACTAATCTGAGACACCACATGGTCTCTCAGCACCAGAGGGGTGGCCAGGTGACTCCTGGCATCTTTGGCCCTTGCACTGAACTGCTAGCCTGATGGCCTAGATTTGTTAGGAAAGGCCCCTGGGCCTCCTGAGCATCTCGTGGGAGCCACCTTCTGCCCCCCAAAGCCAGCATCCCCCTAAAAAAAGAGTTTCTGTTCTTATTTCTAATTCATCCCTTCTCTATCAGGATTTCTTGCACACATCCCACCAAAATTTCTTTTGCAAAGGACAACAGTCACCTCCTCATTGCTTATCCAGTGGCGTAACCCTTAACTCCTTTAACCTTTCTGTGACATTTGACAGGACAACCACTTCCTCTGTCTGGAAATTCTTCCGCCCCCTAGGCTCTGTGACACCTGCTTTCCTGATTTTCTCACACTCATCTGATTATACCCACTCAGCCTCGTTTGATAGTTCCTGTTCTCAGAACATTTTTTGTTCTTTAATTTTTTTCATTTATTGACTCTGGGTTTACAATACTATACAAGTTTTGGAAATACAGTTTTACATCTCCATTTAAAAAATATGGCGGGGGGGGGGGTGTTGCGACATACCCAACAGTTTTCAGGTTTACTTGAATGTGGGTTGGCCATGCACAGAGCAAGCTGTTAACCTGCTATACTGTCTCTCCATCCCTTCACACCTCCGTTTATGTTTACACCTCACCGCACCCATGATCTAAGGTCTGGTCTTACACACTGTGAAATACTCTCCCTCTATACTCTCCTTCCATTCCACTTTTCCCTTCTGCTATGTTAAGCACAGACTTTTCGGAGCCTAAGAATTATTCTTACTGTGTTTTGTTAGTCAGGGCTGGAGCAATAGCACAGCCGGTAAAGCGTTTGCCTTGCACGCGGCCGACATGGCCAGCCCGGGTTCGATTCCTCTGCCCCTCTCGGAGAGCCCACACGGCAAAGCCTGGCAAGCTTCCTGTGATGTATCTGATATGTCAAAAACAGTAACAACAAGTCTCACAATTTGCTGTGAGATATTACTGGTGCTCGCTTGAACAATTCGATGAGCAACAGGAGGACAGTGCTACAGTGCTACAGTGTTTTGTTAGTTGCTTTGGTTTGATTATTTATATTTGACCTGTTAGCAAAACCATTCAATAATTATCTTTCATATTCTGGGTTATTTTGCTTAGCTAATCACCTCAAGGCCCATCCATGTTATCACAAAAGGCAAAATTTCATTTCTTGAATAGCTGACTAGTTTTTGTTAACACGTACATATATATGTTTATATATAAATTATTCATCTAGTCATTTGTGGAAAGTAATTTAGGTTGTTTCCACATCAGGCCATTTTGGAAAAAAGAATATAACATGTCATCCTTTTTAAAAAATATTGGGGGGAGGGCAGGCAATACCTGGTAGTGCTCAGGGCTTACTCCTGGCACTATGTTCAGTGATTACTTGTGTAACCATAGTTACTGAGATCAAACCTGAATTGGCACATGCAAGATAAATGCCCTACCCTCTATCTCTTTGACTCCCATATAATTCTATTTTTATCTTGTTTTACTTAGCCATAGATATCATATATAAGATATATATATATACTATTTATATCCAATTGTAATAAAATTCTATATATATCCAGCTATGACCAAAAAGGCAGTGAATTTTATGTCTCTGTCTGTGGTTCAGTGCTATTCTTGGGAGTTAGAAAGATATATTTTCTCTCTCAGACTGTTGGAAAATTTAAAAATTATTATTATTATATTTTGATTTTGCCCATTCCTGGTGGTTTGGGTTTGATAAATTTATCAATCTTTCTGAGTTTGGGGTAATCTTATTACTAAGAACTTTCCCTGCATTAAGAGAAGTTCTTTGCTTTTTAAATGATCACAGTACTTTTTTCTTTTCTTTCTTTTTTTTGTACATTTTTTGCTCATCATAAAATAAGGACTAGATTCCTAATTATTAATGTAGGGAGAAAAAAACAAATCTGAACCATATTTCATGTACCTTCTAGATGGCCATTCCAAAATATAAGCCCAAACTGATACAAAGAATTTTGACTCAGTTCTTCAGTGTTTGATTTCAGGTCTCACCACAATCCTCACTATTCTTCCAAAACCATCATCTCTGGTCACCAGTGATACTAGATAATACAGATATAAATGCTGATACAAGACAATACAGGACCAGGAAAGAAGAGACAGAAGTATTTCAATACAGTCTTGGTTTATTCTCATTCTGTTCTCAAAGAGCCTTAGTAACTGGGTGCATTTGAAATTCTCTGAATGTTTGGCTCCTGAAGTAATGTCATGTTATGAAAGATGAGAACAGAAAATAATGCAAAGAAATAGATATCCTGTTTCACTGGCACATCATTCATTAACACTTCTGGACCTGCGACCTTATGACATCAGATTTGCAAAATTTAGTTCTCCAAAGGTCTAATTAAGCCACACAGAAAACTGGCCCTGAATTCAAGTACCCTGACACCAGGCGACAGCAACCAGGCAAAGACACAGATACCAGTATGGAAAGGCAAGACTTCTCTTTCAAACTATGCTTTTTTTTTTTTCATGCAATGTGCTTGCTATTGCTTCCTTCAAATATAGGCTAATGAATGTATGTATTGTTAATATTATAAATATAATTTTAAAACTTTAACCTAAGACATATTTGATATGCCAAACACAGTAACAACAAGTCTCACAATGGAGACGTAACTGGGCCTGCTCAAGCAAATCGACGAACAATGGGAGGAGAGTGACAGTGACAGTGAACTTAAGTACCAAATTTCCAAATTGCTTAAAGGCAATGGTTTTAAGCTCTGTCTGTACTGTTTTTTTTTTTGTTTTTGGGTCACACCCAGCAATGCACAGGGGCTACTCCTGGCTCATGCACTCAGTAATTACTCCTGGCAGTACTTGGGGGACCATATGGGATTCTGGGAATTGAACCCAGGTCGGCCGCATGCAAGGCAAATGCCCTACCCACTGTGCTATCGCTCCAGCCCCTCTGTCTGTACTTTTGAATAATCTGGGAAAACCTTGAATATACACAATACATATACTACTGCTCAAACCTCCCACCTAAAGATTTTGACTTAATTGATCTGGGGGAATCTTATTACCAGAAACTCCCTTTGGATTTGGAGGAGTTCTTTACTCACAGCACCCTTTTCTACATCAAATTCTTGGGGAATCTAGGGAAAAATTACTGAGTCTATCTCTGTTCTTCTGACCATTTAGTCGTCCTTTGCTCATCTGTCTTGATCAGTGAAGTACTGTCAAAGGATGTAAAAAAAAAATCAAGATAGAGGCTGAAGAGATAAGTTGGGTGCCTTCCCTGCATGTGGCAGACCTGGGTTCAATACCCAGCACCCCATATGGTTCCCTGAGTCCAAATAGGATTGATTTATGAGCACAGAGCCAGGAGAAAGCCCTGAGTACTACATGTTATGGACCCAAAATAAAAAAAGGGCAAAATAAAAATTTGTCTCCTTAAAATGGAGATCCTAGAAATAGTCTATTTTTGATACTTAAGGCAAATAGGTTCTAGAGGTCTTCGGCTGCTGGGGCTCTGCTCGGGGTGGGGAGGGAAACTCAACCCGCCCCCCTCCAAGGGACCCCAGCGAGGACAGCCAGGCGCAGGGGCAGGAGATTCTGCGCTGTTCTCTTCCAGGAGCTGGGTTTTATAGTCTCTGGGTCTTGGCCGTTGATGGGATTACACAGCGCCGGGGGGGCAGTTGGTGGGTGTGACCCCTGCCTACTGGAAGATGGAGGATCTGGGTGGAGGATGCTCAACCCCGATCCGAGCAGGCTTGGAGATCTCAGCCTAGGGACCCGCATGCCTTTGTTCCTCTGCCGGTACCTTCATGCATCTGGAGAGTGGTCTCAGCACTCTCAGCAGAGCCCCAGCAGCCGAAGACCTCCAGAACCAGCCACAACCATGCTGATATATAAGCGATAGCACAGTGGTAGGGCGTTTGCCTTACAAGCGGCCAACATGGCCGACCCGAGTTCGATTCCTCCGCCCCTCTCGGAGAGCCCGGCAAGCTACCAAGAGTATCTCGCCCGCACAGCAGAGCCTGGAAGCTACCCATGATGTATTCGATATGCCAAACACAGTAACAACAAGTCTCAAAATGGAGATGTTACTGGGCCTGCTCGAGCAAATCGATGAACAATGGGAGGACCGTGTCCATGACCGTGATATATCCTGGAAAAGAAAGCTGAAGTAACAAGTATTAGGGGGAAAAAACTGCCTAAGATCTTCATTAAAACATTAACAAAGCTTCTTTTAAGAGAGTAGAACTACCAGAGCTATAGCAATAGCACAGCAGGTAGGGCATTTGCCTTGCATGTGGCCGACCAGGGTTCGATTCCCAGCATCTCATATGGTCCCCTGAGTACCACCAGGGGTGATTCCTGAGTACAGAGCCAAGAGTAACCCCTAAGCATCACTGGGTGTGACCCAAAAGGCAAAAAAAAAAGAGTAGAACTAGGGATATGAAATAATTCAGTAGGCTGGGGCTCATGTGTTTAAAGTTGAAGGCTCAGTTTGATACCTGGCACTACATGTTCCTCAGGCACCCCTAAGCACTGAATTAGGAGTAGTACTCAGAACCACCAGTCTGCTAAAAAGGACTATAAAAGCACTGTAGTCAAGTCCGGACTCTAGTCATTCTTGCCTGCAGATAGGACAATGCCCCCACCCAGACCTTTAAGAATAGATTCCCAGCTGCATGTCGACCCTCTCTGAGCAGAAGTCAGAAGGGGCTGAGACAGTCTGTCAGATGGATGTCTTTTCTCTGGTGTTTGGCCTGGGAGAAGCGGGAGTGTGCGTGCACAAATGCAGGAGGAGTGGACAAACGTGCAGGATGGGCTGCCCGGGCCCTGCTTACTGCAGCTGGAAGTGCTTGATTTTGGTGACCAGCAGTTTGTACTGCGCACCCAGGGGTGCCATGGACGCAACATCTACAAATATCAGTTGCTGCAGAGGTCCTGTTTCGTTGGTCGCTTCTGAGGGACATAAAGTACGGCTCACTTCCTGGTAGTTGTAGGTCCGCTGGTACCTGTAGAGGCCAATGGAGAGGAGAACCGGTGAAAACAAGAAAGAGCCTCAAAAAACAAGCCAGCAAAGAGGGTTGTCACATGCCTGCCTCCCTCCCCCACCCCCCACACACACCATTTGCTTTCAAGTTCTTAATTTTTAAAATTTCCGACTGGTCTTGCTGGTAGTGATTTTAGACTCAGAATTGTTGGCAGATTATTGTGCTGAGCAACATCGGCTGTGTCTTTACCTTACACTGAACCATTCTCTTAATTCAGTGTGGATAAATATCTAATTTAATGGAGAAACTGTTCAGACAATCAGTTCAGTACATTTCTGTATACTTCGAGCTTTTGTTCAGTGTATAAAGAGAACCCAATAATCTAAGTCCAGACTCTCAGAATCAGTGAGTCAATCCTCAAATTCACCAATCTCTAAAAATGATTTAATATCATACTATATGCCCATGTTTATACTCTTTATTAATACTATAGTGCTATGAACACTTGCCTTTGTAAAAATATATATCTGTGAGGGCAGGGATATTCCTCCCTTTTCCCACTCTTCTATCTCTAGCAGTTAATAGTATCATGAAATGAGGAATGCCTACTTGGTGAGCATTTTGAATAGTGGGGAGTCATCAGCCTCTAGGTTTAGACCTATCCTGAGTCATTGATCCACAAACAAACCCAATTCAGGGTAGAATTAAAATAGCAGGAGTTCTAAAGTTCTTCAAGTCTAGGGAAAAAAGCATTTCTGAACTTCAACAATGGAGGACCCTGAACATTCCAGCGCCTGTTGGGTCTTGTACATAAGGTGCCACTATATCAATATTCTGAATGTCTTACTGCTCCAGTCCCAAGGGAAAAGACCAACTAAGGTCTAGGACATTGAAAGAAACCAAATGATGTGAAGTTGTACAGGGAAAGCAATCCACTTACAGTCCTTGGAAGAGGAGTGGCACCTGCCAGGACAGTACCGCTTTCTGTTGGCGAACCACAACCAGGACTGGGTAGTTGAGGTTCTCTGTGGAACTGTTCACATAGACCCTCACAGCATTCACCTGTGTAACACAGAGAGACAAACAGTTCATACACATCACTTGCACACACATGCATACAGGATAGTTGTCATCCAAAGTTCAAAAACTTTTAATCCCTTGGGGCTGAAGTGATAGTACAGCAGGTAGGGCATTTGCTTTGCATGCAGTCGACCCAGGTTTGATTCCCAGGATCCCATATGGTCCCCTGAGCACCACCAAGAGTAATTCCTGAGTGCAAAACCAAGAGTAACCCCTGTGCATCACCAGGTGTGACCCAAAGAGAAAAAAAAAAAGAACTCAATCCCTCTTGTTCCTGATCACAACCATTTCAAATGTCTTTCCTCACTCACTTCATAAACAGTAATTCTTAACATTGATCATACAACTGAAATCACCAGAAGGTGATTCATCCACAAATATCTCAATATATCAGTTGCTGAAAACCTTTAATTTTAGTTTGGAAAAAATCATTGGTGCTTCAAACCAAAATGTTTTACTTAGTTTAATTTAAGTCCAGCAGATGGCCTGATGCTTCCCAAGCAACAAACACCAAAGAGGCTGACTATTTTTCTCTTCGACCTGTGCTAACACATAAATCAATCCCTGGCACAAAATGCTTTTTAAAATCAGACAAGTCCAGAATTTAACACCATCATGGTAGCTTTAAGGACAAGATATTGAGTTGTGACCCTGGATCTAGATGGTTTTGGTATTTCCTTTGTTTTTTTAGAGTAACATAATCAATATGGAAAAATAGAAAGCAAACTAAAAAAGAATAAAGGGAATTCTCTTTGACCTGAGATTTCCCTTACTGCAGGAAGGCCTTAGTATTATCTTGAAAAACTCTTTATTAGAGTTTAAAAAATGAAATAAGGAAATTCTGCTATTAATCCTTGATGATCTAATCACACATTCAAAATTGAATTTGAGAAGAACCCAGGCAGCACAGTTTGATATGTTACTATTTGATTCTCTTCTATCATTCTCTTTGATCAAGCTACTTTGGTTTTTTAATATTAAAGCAGTGCAAGAGGAATTTATTAAGTTGATAAGGAATCCATGCTACGAAGGGACTATTTCTTTCTGCCTACACATTGTTTCCATGGAAATGATGCTCCAGGAGATGATTGCCAAAACTCACTCCAAACCTCCAGTTGTTCCACAGTCCCCTCAAACTCAATCTGTCTGAAACAGAATATATCAGTCCTTTCATCCAACTAAACTTCTTTACAATGCCCGGCTGAGTTTCATGAATGACCCCACAGTGCAGTCATTCATCAAAACCTAAAACCTGAGAGTCAACTTCAACAGCTTATGAAGTTCTGCTGCTTCTATCTCGACCACGTCCACATTCAGATCTTCCCGCCCCTCCTCGCACATCTTCTGGTCACACGCTCATACTGTGGTCCTTCACCTTATTGACAGATTTCTCTCTGGTCTTCTTCTCCCTAGGACTGCATCTTTTTGGATGCCTGTTTTATAATATCCTGCTAAAAAGGGCTTCTGCTGCTCTGGGAATGTTTATATTTATCTCTAAGTCACACTCATGTTTTTACCATTCAGCTTTAATAACTATTAGCTTGTTTCATCTATAACTCCTATTTTTCACACATGTACGCTAATATGAATTACTTTACAGTTAACTCCAAAGATTGCAGCACTTCGTCTGTAACTCATTAAGTGTGTATTTCTAAGAGATGAAGTCACCTTTTAAAAATTTAACTCATTGCCATTATTATACTTAGTAAAATTCAAAATAATTCTTTATAATTTTACAAAATTTAAATGGAATTTAAATTTATTTATATGTATATGTATATGTATTATATGTATTTATATATAAATACATAAACATATGTATTTATATATAAATACATAAACATATGTATTTATATATAAATACATAAACATATGTATTTATATATGTTTATGTATTTATATATAAATACATATGTTTATGTATTTATATATTTCTTGGCTTTTTGGGTCACCTTAGCAATTCTCAAGGGTTACTTACCCCTAGCTCTGCACTCAGGTATTACTCTTGGCAGTGCTTGGGGAACCATAAGGGATGCCGGAGATTTCACTCTGGTAGGTCACGTGCAAGGGAAATGCTCATCCCACTGTACTATTGCTCTGACCCCTGAATTTATTTTAAAAGATACCTTTTTCTTAAGAAGTTAAATTGGTTACGGGGGCACTGAAAAGATTGTACAGTGGGCAAGGCTCTTGCCTGGCATGTGACTGACCCTGGATGAATCCCTGGCATGCCTATGGTCCCCTGAACCCACTAGGAGTGATCCCTGAGCACAGAGCACAGAGAACTTCTGGGTGTGGCCTAAAAACCAAAAACCAAAACCCAAAAAATGATTGCAGGCTAGAGAGATAGTACAGCAGGTGGGGCACTTACCTTAAATGCTGTTGACCTGGTTCAATCCCCAGCACCTCATAGGGTTCCCTGAGCTCCACAAAAGTGATCCCTGAGCATAGAGCTAGAGTAATACATAAGCACTACCTAGTATGACCCACCCCCCCAAAAGATTAAAAGCAAGATCCATACATTGTATTTGAGTCTCTTTTTAATCTAAAGTTACTCTTCTCCCCCCCCCCCCCCGCCATATTTGTTAGAGAAAGTTACAAAGCAACCGTGCAAATCTGAAAGACCTACATTCTAAGTTTTGCTAATTGCATCGTGTTAGCGTCATTAAACAGTTTCTTTACTTTTGGGGGGGAAGGGGGTTGTGCTGCTGATGGGGGCGGCAGGGGGACGGTGTTTGGGCCATACCCTATGCTAGGGTGCTCAGGTTTACTTCTGTCTCTGTGAATGTTCAGGAATCACTCCTGGCAGTGCTTAGGGGACATATGTAATTCTGGGGATCAAACTCAGGCTGGCTGTACATAAGTCAAGAACCTTATCTCTGGGGCTGGAGCAACAGTACAGTGGGTAGAGCATTTGCCTTGCATGTGGCCAACCTGAGTTTGATCCCCAGCATCCTATATGGTCCCCTGAGCACCGTCAGGGATAATTCCTGAGTGCATGAGCCAGGAGTAACCTCTGTGCATCACTGGGTGTGACCCCCCCCAAAACAAACAAGCAAACAAGCAAACAAACAAAGGAACCTTATCTCTAATCTGCTGTACTATAACTTCAGCCAAAATAATTTCCCTGATCTCCTATATTTTCTATAAACTGGTGGAACTGAAAGCCTGAGTAGACTCAAGTCACCGAGCTGCTCAGTTTTTTCTCTACATATTGAGTCATAGTCAAGATAATCTTCATCTCTCTGTACTATTTTATGTTTCAGTATTTTTAATATTTAAACATTTAATATTTTTTAAATTATTATTTATATATAGTATGTATAAAAACAACTTCAGTTTTTTCCTAAATTTTATTTTATTTTTATAAAGTTATTCACAATAATTTATTACATTGAATATTCAAACACCAACCCCACCACCATTGCACCTTCCCACTACCATATTTCAAATGTTTCCACCCCAAATCCCAAATTGTGCTCCCCAAAGTTTGGTACATCAGTGGTGTATGAGGGCTTATGCAGCTGCATTTGCAGGAATTCTAAAATTTAGAATACAACTATGAGCAGATTCACTCATGGGTGAGACATATGTTGTTCTCCTCCAGGAGCTTTATTTCTGAGTCTCTGGATCATGACAATTGATGAGATTACATGGCGCCAGGGGAAGTTTGTGGTGTGACTGTCAAGCTACTGGTGAACTTGGGAGATGGGGGTAGGGTGTCCATTCCCACTCCCAGCGAGCTTGGAGATTTCATTACTTCAGTTTTATCTCCTAGGCCTTAATGCTTGAGGAACCATGCGGTTTGGAGGCAAAGAACATGTGTTGTTCTGTGGGCCATGTAGCATGAGGGGCCAAACTCAAGTCCTTACACATGCGAAGCATGCACTCTACAATTTGAGCCACAACCCTGCTCCCAACTTTTATGTTTTTTCATAGAATCTTTAATTTATTTGCATAATGTTTTCAAGGTTTCTCCTCCATATTGTAGCATGTAGCAGTGTTTTATTCTTTTTTCATTTTGAAATAATATTCCCTTGTAAAAATATGCCACATTCATTTAATAATTTTTCAGTGGATGGACATTTTGGTTATTTACACTTTTGGCTATTACTATGAACATTTATATATGTTTTTGTGTGAGCATATGTTTTTGATTCTTTTGCATTTATACTATGAGTAAAGTTTTTGGGTGCCACAGTTACTCTGTTAAACTTTTTGAGAAAACTGCCAAAACACTTTCCAGAGAGATGCATCATTTTATACCACAATCACTTATTAACAATGAAAAATGTTCCAATGTCTCCATATCTTTGCCAACATTTGTAACTGTTCTGCTTATCCTTGCCTGTATGAAGTCTATCTAACTGTGAACCAGACAGTATTTAAAGAGCTCACCTGCCTCTATTTTTGGGGGGAGTGGGTTCAAACCTGGCGATGCACAGGGGTTACTCCTGGCTCTGTACTCAGAAATTACTCCTGGCCATGCTCTGGGGACCATATGGGATGCTGGGAATCGAACCCAGCTTGGCCGCATGCAAGACAAACGCCCTACTGGCTGTGCTATTCCTCCAGCCCCTCACCTGTCTGACTCTTTCAGAAGCTGCAAGCTCCAACTTTGTCGTTGCTATTGTTAGAGAGAGTAGGCTTGGTAACGGATCAGTTTTTCAGTTCGTAACACCAACATTCAATAGCATTATACTGTGTGTGATTTGAGAGCATATTTAAGTCTGCTTTAAATCAACAGTTGTCACAATAGAGAAAAAAACAAACCCAAGGAAAATTGTGAGCTAGTTAAGTTTCAGCCTTAGCTTCCTTTTGTCCCTAGTTTCAGCCTCCTTCTTCCTTAGTGCAGAAGGATTCTGTCTCCCCATGAACCCCATTCCACTTGAATTCAGTGGTTCTCAAATTTTTGTGTACGTTCCCGCCTCTCAAGTGCACATTCCCACTCTCAGCATTTCTGATTCAGCAAATCAGTACTA